TTAAAGCGTCGTTGTAATTTTTTTATGTGATTCAGTGCTCTAATTATTTCGGACATCTGCGCGTGCGCTCGTCGTGTTGGCGGCACGTGGATCGCGTGCCTTCCTGTTCCGCTCTCCTGAGGCGATACGTGCGTATATCAAGTTGTTCAACTTGACGCAAGAACAGAGTCTTGATATGTTTTTATTTCTATATTTTTTTATTTCTGAAATTGGGAAACATACAACTTCTTAAATGGATTATTTAAGGAGTATCTTCAACGATATTTTAAAGAAAAAAGTTTGCTCCTTATTGGAGGGGAAGGCACTAGTGGGTAACATAAATGAATAGTATGCTTTTTACTGGATAATTATAATATGCATTTAATATATAATAGACACATAAAACAAACAAGTAAACACACAACACACTAAACACGACAAATAGAACAATAATTATAATAAACAAAAATGACAATTAGTATAAAATAAAATTCAAAAATATGAAATTTGGCCGGTGGCCAACTGTCATATTATTGACACATCCTAAATAATAATACGTTGACTAAAGTTAAGGGAAAAAGTTATAAGTTAAGATATCTAAAAGCGTTCGTTGCAAGTAGGAATCTTATCTCATTTGATAGTTTTATATCTATTTACTCTAGTAGTAAATATATAGTTATATATCTACTTAGTACGGGCCGCTAGAGCAGTTCCAGACCCAACTATTTGTTGAGCACAGAGCAAAATGAGATAATGTTCCCCTATCTCATTTTGCACTGTGCTATAGATTTCTAGAAGAAAATTTTAATGCAAATAAAGATTTTTTTTACTTATTGACTGGTCAACACACAGCTCAAATAGTTGGGTCTGGAACTGCTCTAGACAGCAAATAAGCCGGGTAACTTGCTACAATGGAACTCTGATTTGATTTTCTTAAAAAGGATAAAGCTTACATTTATTAATATGCGTTCGTTTCATGATGGTTAAAATTAAAAAGAACTTATTGAGATTAATCAACGTATTAAGTTTTCATTAGAAATTTTCCAAAAGACATTTCTTCCAATTGTTTTAATCGGGCCATGATGCTAGAGTGTAGGTAGCTTTGAAAGTTATTAGTTTATACTTTTTGAGACAATCGAATCAGCGTTCCAAGTTACTAGCGTGTGCACTTAAAAAGTTTCAAAGTAATTGGCAATAACTTCTATGTTAGACGATTAGACGGCATTGGTGATTGTATCGCAGATGTGAAGATAGCTGTTAAAATAGAAGGGTAGACGTGCCTCACTAAGCATCCTCAACTCGCTGACCTGCTTCTTCACGCTCCGTTGAAGGCCTTATAGTCAATAAAAAATGAACTAAATACTAAAATAAGGATAATAATACCGTAACAGATCTCTTAACTAAACAATATTACACGCGTGATCACAGAGTGTCATTCTATTACAACAGTAATAGTGATCACGCTAACATTATAAAGGCGAAAGTTTGTGAGTGTGTATGTTTGTTACTTCTTCACGTCTTAACGGCTGGAGCGATTTTAATAAAATTAGGTCTGGAGTTAGCTGACACCCTGACTTAACACATAAGCTACGTTTTACTGCGGGAAAATATCCTTAATAAACCGCGGGTAAACACCACGGGGCACAGCTAGTCTATATATATAAAACTCAAAGGTGACTGACTGACATAGTGATCTATGAACTCACAGCCGAAACCACTGGACGGTTCGGGCTGAAATTTTGCATGCAGGTAGATGTTATGACGTAGGCATCCGCTAAGAAAGGATTCTGATCAATTCTACCCCCAAGGGGATCAAATACCGAAGCGAAGCGAAGGCGGGTCACTAGTGTGATATAAAGCTGAAATTGAAGGGTAAGTTTTGTTAGATCTTAACAGTTCTGTTGTCCTACCTACCTATTTGAAATGTTGAATCTTGCATGATGATACAAAACTCTTCGTGTGACAAGTCTGCCTTTAAATAGCTACATTGCAAGTTTAATATTTTAATGTTACATTATATGTATTTCAATTCTTAAAAACATGACCAGATAATTCATGATACAAGTTAGAATTAAATTTGGTTTTCGTTAAGTAGCCAAAAGACTCCAGGGAAATTTTCTTCCTCATATATTTTTTTTAATAATGACTCTTGGCGTCAAGCGCCAAGCGCGATATAAATAAAGACAAATATAATTGTTGTGATACGTGTATACTGAAGGGGGAAGGAAGGGGGGGGTCTTAGCATATACTACGGTTGGTCACAGAGGGGGAGAGGGGTGAAAAAATGGGTATGTTTCCTAAATGCTCAAGCCATCTAAGCTACAGAAAACCAACTAAGGATGTGAAATTGATAGCGAAGAGAAATTTTGCACATTTATGCCCCTGGATAGAATTGGAGGACCATCAGTTGATCAGCGACCACCAGTACGTTTTCCGTAGATGTCGTTCGGCCGGTGATCTTCTAGTATACTAGACGTATCGTTGGGCAAAGACGATCGAGACCAAGAGAGAAGCATTAGCGGTCAGTCTAGATATCGCAAAGGCCTTTGATCGAGTCTGACACAAAGCGCTTCTTTCGAAGCTTCCTTCAGGGGCTTCCCGAAAAACTGTGCATTTGGGTCACAAACTTTCTTGCTGATAGGAGCATCCAGGTCGTAGTTGACGTTGCATACTTGGAATCCAAATCCGTAAACGCGGGTGTCCCACAAGGCTCGCATTTGTGACACTCCTGGTGTTGCAGGTGCCTATGGGCGACGGTGATCCTTTAACATCAGGTGAGCTGTCCGCTCGTTTTTGTGTTATAGGGGTATAATAAAAAAAAAGTCAGCATGCTGAACAACGAGTACATAATATAATAATTAAGACTTAATCAGCATCAGCTTTAGTTTTTTGAGAGATAATCCTTCAGGAGCCTATCATTTTTATGTGATAAAAAGTATCCTATGTCTCAATTTAAGTCATAAACCATATGCGTACCAAATTTCATTATTGAGTAAAACACACACAAACATACTAAATTTCACATTTATTAAATACTAGCTGTGCCCCGCGGTGTTACGCGCGGTTTATTAGGGATATTTTCCCGCTGTAAAACGTAGCCTATGTATTAATCCAGGGTGTCAGCTAACTCCATACTTTTATTAAAATCACTCGTTTAGACGTGAAGAAGTAACCAACATACACACTCACAAACTTTCTCCTTTATAATATTAGTGTGATTAGTAGGATGTACATAATATTCTAACTTCCAACGTGAAGATCAACAAAAAATGTAAATATTACTTTGTTAGTCTATCCCATTCTTGCGTACTTCCCGGGGCCGGGCCTAAAAAAGGCCTCTAGAAACACTTTGCTGGCAGGCAAGGTGAGAATGGCTGGTATGGCAGGTAATACTGCAGCACCAACTAACTTCCCTGTACTCTGCTGCTAGTTGCTCGTTCTGCTGCTCTGATCTCTTCTTTAAATTATTACGAGGATTATTGAGGAGCTCGATCGCGCAGGTAGCTAACGAATTCGGCTTACGATCGTGGAGGTTGAGCAACCTACGAGATTGTGGGTCATTGAAAAGATGACCGAAAACTTTTATCCCGAGCTCCTCCTTGCTTCGGAAGGAACGCTAAGTCGTTGGTCCCGGCGTATCTGCAATCGTTAGCACCCACCAATCCGAACTGGGCCCGCGTTGTGAGTCGCGGCCAAATCTCCCTATTCCATAAAAACCTGTGCCCCAGCAGTAAAGACATTAAAAGACTGATGACATTGATGGATTCTTAAAATAAAATTTGAACAAGGAAACAGCAATATAGAAAAAGTTTCGGCCAAATCGAAATCGATTTCATGGCTGTGTAATTGGAATAAACAGATTGAACCTGTTACACGTGCCAATTTTGAATGTCAAGTATAAATAAAAAACAAAAAACATGAATAATTAGCCACCTTTAAATAGTCATCATCATAAATATTTTAATTGTAATACGGAAGTCGAAAACTCTATGGATAAAACTAAACACCAATCCCCGAAGTTGTCTTCCGGACGGGGCAGTCCATGTCCTCTAAAATTGCGAATAGACGACGAACTAGTTTCTAGTTTGAATAAGGTATGCATCTAAACGTCGGTAGAAAAGTTTTTGATTTTATTTTATCAATAAAGAAATGTATACGTATCTATATTATACTAGCGGCCGCCAGCGACTTCGTACGCGTGCAGTTAGTTATTCGTTGTTACAGAATGCGTTGAAGAAATAAAGGTTCACTGCTTGTTCCTCGTAGGTGATAGCGTGATAATATGTAGCCTATATGTTGACCCGACTTCTTAATAATATTCGTGCCAAATGTGAAGTAAATCCATGCAGTACCTTTTGAGTTTATCCCGGAGATACATACAGACAAAAATTCTCAAAACTATATTTTTGGCTTCCGTATCGATTTTAGATCACACCCCAAGTATTCTTTAAAAAAAAATATTCAATGTACAATTTTGACTTTCCTACCATTTTATTATATGTATATTTATCACAGAACACAGAAAGAGGTTAGATCATTTGTACGAGAACCGATGTCGCCGGCTCGCCCCCACTACCTAATAGATATTAGCGACGCGACATAAAGGGGCCCATATACGGAACGATTGATCTGTACGATCCGTCGTTTTAGACCGATCGAAACGATGGACCGACAGTGTATGTCAAGATCGTTAACGATTTACTTAATCGCAGACGATATCGGAGATCGCAACAAAAATCCATGCATTCATGAATATCGTAAACGATCGATCGTCAGTGTCCCATATACGGTACGATTGATCTGTACCAATTGTCTGTATTGACCTTAACGATTTCCTTCAGATCGATCGCAACGACGAATCGTTCCGTATATGGGGCCCTTTAAACAAAAGAACCAATCAGCACTCACACCGGAGAGCAACGACGCAATCAGAACCAAGTTGTGATCAAGCTATGAGCATTTGCTCACACATAACTGTGGCGTGCCTGCCCCACCCACAAGCCCTTCTAACCTCTTTCTGTTTCCTGTGATATACCTACATACCTACTTATACGAGTATATTGTATCTTTCTACATAGCGTTGCGATGCACTTAATTCAATCTCCAAGACATGCCTAATACTCGGTTTCCTAAGGAGGATCTCGATGGCGCAAGTGGTGAGCTACGATAGTTGAAGTTAAGTAACTTTCGCAGTCGTCGGTCATTGAATGGGTGACCAAAAATTTTGCTCCGACTTTTAACATAATTTATTTTAAGCATAGCCGAATCCTTGGCCCATGATTATATACAGCCATTGGTGTCGATTCTGGCATGTTTCACTAAACTTAAAACTATTTTTTGTTTCTAAACACCTTTTTAAGTGCAAAACAAAGACAGCAAACCACACTTTTGGTATCTTTGTGACACTTGTTTATCTGACAATGCCACCGACGCCGTAACCATGGCAACCGCGTAAACAACGCCCTTTCTACGGATTTTTTTACAATATTTTGTTTCATATCCTAGTTTGCAGTGTTTGTTATATTTTTCTTGCCGCACTAGTGATTGATTAGGACTGAGTATGGACCCCGACGAGGACGAGGAACCCTTCGGGGGTGCAATGAACATCGCCTCCGAGACAACTGAGGCAGAGAAGGAATTTGGAAAGGTACCTAAAAAAAAAGAGTTTTTTTTAGAAAGAGCGATTTATTGAAAAGTACTTGAAAACACGGGCTAAACTGTACTTTCTGGCCCCCCAGTTGAAACTTCACACGAGTAGGTATGGATGGAATAGGGAAACTCTGGAGTGACCCACCCACCGACCACATGAAAAAACTGAAGTTGCGCAGAAAATTTGAATATTAAACCTATAAGGCCTGTATATGGGTCAAATTGACATTGCCGTTTTGTCATTTTTCTATGGGTTAAATCTAGTTCTAGTTGAATTGAGATATACGAAATTTACTGCAAGCGGGCCTTAGTAATTCAGATTTTGTAATCTTTATATTTTTAATGGCTTATGCACACAAAGCCGCCGGCAATTGCGGAGCGATACGTGCCGCCGGATATTGCTACGCGTCTTTGCCGAAAGCACGTGCCGCAGAACTTGAACAAACCTCTTAAGCATCACTGAAATGTACTAGCAGCACGCGCTGGACGCCCGCATACCCGGCTGGCTAAGCCGGCGCGGCGGCGTCTCCTTTCTGCGTTAAAGCCGCAGTGCGCACCGCGGCTTGCCACCGGCGTAACATAGTCGCGCGTCGCCGTCGCGTAACATAGGAGCGCCAGTCTGGGGAAGTAATCACCAACCAGTATTGCCAGGTCTCCAGATTTTACAGGAGATCTCCTGTTTTTCTGAAATTTCTCCTGTTCTACTGTTTTTCTACATGAATCTCCTGTTTTTTTAGAATACGATTTTCTTTTTTAAATTGCATGTTGAGTTGCATTTTTCGTCATTAATAATGTAGATAACCTTAATAATTATAAAATAAATGTAATTGTCTAAAGAAAAAATAGCTTTAAGGGAGGCAGAAGCCACAGAAACACATTCGTTACCAATACTAGGGGGGGGGGGGGGGGGTGCTAACCTCTGCATCTACTGTTTTTGTTTCCATACATCTACTGTTTTTTTCCGATTCGGACCTGGCAACACTGTCACCACCTTACAGAAGATCACAGTAAATTAGGTATTACTACAATTTGGTGGTTTTGTGTTTCTATCGGTGAGTAGGGTTGCAGGGCTCCACGGGGTAGCGGTAGGCAAGGGCGCCAACGATATTTTTGGTATCGCAAGCGTCTATGGGCTATGGTGGTCGTTAACATCAGACGGGCCGTATGCCTGTTTCCTACCCTTTTAACATTAAACGAACATTTAAACATTGGGTAGGTAAATCTTCTGTCGCGTCTTATAAAACCAACGATATTAAATACCGACACGATATCAAATAGCGACGTATAACCGACCACTCATTTGAATATTACAAATATTTTATATTAAATTAGTTTATAGTAAGTATTACATCAAAATTTGCTTCAAATACGTTAAATTAACAAACATTGACAAGATACCTGTCGAAAAAACGACACTTTTCGTAATTTAAGTGTTATTTTCGCAATTTTTCGCGGAGCTCTGTAGCATCTTGACTTTGTAACGGTCCGCGCGTGACTGTGAACCAACCTGTGACTTCTTGATTGGGACACATTTTGAGCGCTCGTGGTGTATCTAGGGTATTTAATGTCTTTGTATAAAACACACGGCATACCGCGTCCTAAGCAAGTGGGACAGGAAACTTTATTTAAAACGTTTTATTAAATAAACATTTGTCGTCAGGTCCTGGAAGACATGCGTGAAGCGGAGGGCCTGAAGCTCTACTCTGATGTGTACACCAAGTTGTATGACTCTTACTACAAGATGAAGGAGGAAAACTCACAGAACATCGAGCGGGTCAACACAATCACCGTAAGTGAACTTGTTTGATAACAACATTTAAACTATGAAATTGTGAATTTATCATTTTAATTCGGATGCGAAATGGCTAATCAACTAAGGCCTGTGTTCCGAACCTGGGGGTAATTACCTCTCCGAGGGTAAATCAGCCATACTTCGGGGGTAACAAAGAACCTAATTATTTGGTCAAATCTAAATAATACTACTAAATAGAGCATACGATCCTTCTTGCTAGCGAGCCCGCGCCGCGGGGTGCTGAGTTTGGGAAGCGGGGCGAGATTATCTTCTGATGATGACATTATTAGAGACGAAGATGTAATGGCCAAATTGGAATTTCTTGGTCTGATGATAACATTTTAAAATCGGAGTAAAATCTGTTTCCCTAATAGGTTACAGGGGTAGCAGTATTGGAAAGGTTAGGAAACACTGGACTAAGGCCTTCCTTCATTCGCTTCGAGAAATAAATCGCTAATGATAAATCTATGTACTTTATTATGAAAATTGTATCACATTGAATTATGTAAAATATCTTGATTTTATAAGCGCATTGAACCTTGACTTGGGCTTATAACAATGGTTTTACCTATGGCGGTTCTGCTTCCTCACAACTAGGAAGCATGCGAATGCATTGGCTGCACGCAGGGCGGGCTCGAGGTTATTCTATTATACTATACAAAAAGGTTTATGGTATAAGACAATACAGTGTCAGCCTCTTTGGATACCATGGTTTATAGAAACCAAATTAAATAGGTCATATGTCGTCCTTGCTCACAGATTACGATCAGGAATTATCTATCTATCTAGGAAGTTTGCACATTTGATGAAGAAAGCTAATTCTCCCAATTGTGAAGCATGTAATAAACTGGACGATGTTTAACACGTTTTGATGGAATGTGTGAAGAACAGAAGAGAGAGAGAGCTATTCAAACAACAATATCAACTTAACTTTGAAAATATAGGTTCGTTTGTGGAAATATTAGCTCTACCAAACTCAGATGCAGCAAAGTCGATGTTTGATATGGTTTTCGCTAGTAAGAATAGCTCGCCCTCTCTAATGTTTTAAATTAAATTAGTTAAGTATGTTTTGGTTAGGGTACGATGAGGCTGGCATATTCGTAGAATGAAAGCCTCTAAATAAATAAAGAAAAAAAAGAAAAGATTAATGTAAGCTTAAAACCATATCCCAATTAATATAAAAAAATATACACACGTCTTTTTTTTCATTTGACAGAACTAAGAGCAAAGACATTAAGGCCTCAACCCTATAGGTGCGTTTTATCGGTCGATAATATCGGATGCGTTATTGCGATAATGCGCCTTCTATTGCTTCGTTATAATTGAAGCAGTGCGTAACTTCGTAGCCGTTCTAATACACAATGTACAAAAAGCAGATATCGCAATGACGCATCCGATATCAATGGCCGATAATAACGCGCCTATAGCGGAAGGCTTAATAAATTTTGGAGTTTCAATAAAGTTAATGTTATGTGACTATCACAAGCATTAAAGTTAATTGACGTCGTAATGCGGTCTTTAATTAAAATTTATAAAACAGATTCACTTTGTTTATGATTCCTTTTCTTTTGGTGTCACTTAATTTCTAGGATTTTATTTATATGTATTGATTTTGCATAAAATCACATAAACAGAAGATACGATAACGATAAATTATTAGTAGGGTTGAATGGATACTCTTAATTTTAATAAACAACCAGGGAATCTTTCGTTGGCAGGAAATGAGAACGATTTTAAGAATTTTTCAAATAAGAAAATGATGCTTATCCACAGCTATGTTAGAGTGCTCAGAGCAGGCCCTCCTTGCCCTGAAATGCTCCTAAAGCAATAAAGCCGGCCCTGTACACTCAAGGCAAGGACAAAGGGCTGTCATTATTCATAACATATCATAAAAAAACAAATAGTTGCCTAATTAAATCACGTTCGTTAAATACTCGATCGAATATTCCAATTATTAAAAAGACTTTACCCTGTTCACATGATCAGCTTGTTAATGTCCTGTCCCTACTACTACGGCAGAATATTTTCCTAAGAATGATGACGACTGCAGATGCAGCCGAGACCAACGGCTTTTTTAGGGGAAGCCAAACAGTGAAATGCTTGTATTTTTCAAAATATTGATTTGAATGATGACATAAGGACATTTTCGTTTAGGAGGAAAATCTTATTGTGTAATAATTTGATAGTAGTGCTAATGAATTTTAGTTAGGGCAAGCCCTGCTTTTCGGCTTACGCCACTGCTCTTTCCGTGTTCACCCGCAGCGATGATGATATATTTTAAATAACTTATTGCTCTTACTCGGTCACTAAATTAGTAATTGAAAAAAAATATAAAAAAATATTATTTATATTTTTTTAAGCATTTACCTGCTAGAGGTTATAGATGTCTTAAAACTCCCGTTATAGATGTCCCTGTCTACTGTGTGGTTTTTTTTCTACTAAAATTTTCTTTATAAATTAATATTACAGGCGAAGCTAAAAAAAGTCGATGAGACTGTGTCCAGTTACCAGGCGGAAATAGCTGAAGCCAACAAAACGATAACCAAATTAAGAGCTGACATTGGTAAGGAAACGGGTTATCTCATATTTCAGTTCGATTCTAATGCTACAATATATTTTTTGTCACATCTATTCGAAAAGAGCTAGTTTGTTCTCTGTATACGGGAACTAATAGCGTTTGAACCCCTAGGGACTAAAATTGATTTGAATTAGTTAAGGTATGGGTATAATACTGTACCCCTAGCACGAACCATCATCGAATTCGAATAGTTTGCAAACCGAAATGTCAATGTCAAATTTTGTATGGAAAATTGAACAGCAGCGGCACAAAGTACGTAACGTGAACTAAAAATCAGTACACATTTGAAAATGACATTTCGGACTCGCAAACATTACGAATTCGATAATGGTTCGTGCTAGGTTCGTGATTTGAATTAGGTAATGGTAAGGTAATTTATTAGTAAAAGTTCCCATCAAAAAAAAGAGATCAATCACAAACATGTTATGATCAAGTCACAGGCTGTATACAGTAACTGTGTCCTTGTCTAATAAAATAAAATGTTAAAACATATACAAAAATAAGAATAACTCTCATAGATAGTGAAAATAAAAGTATTATATTAACTCCTAAGAACATTGTATCGGACGCTAAATTTTTTAATAGCATTTCCTTTTATTCTCATAGAGGTGATAAAAAAAGAGTCTAAACTGTACATTGTAAAGCTCGAGCGACGAACTTTGACTTAGTGAATAATGTACTGTTTTTGTTATTGTCTAGTTCTTTTCCTTATTCTTACGATATATTATTTTATTTCGTTTTTTTTTTCTTTAAAGCACCTAATAAGCAATCTAGATTTTTTACCTTTTGATTAACAAACAGAGGAGGCGCGGTCTCTGGCAGACGCCATGCACGCCCGCGAGCTTGCCAGCGTGGAAAGCCTAGAGACCATGAAAAAGACAGTCGTCAGGCTGGAGAAGGAACTAGACGCCAGGAAACGAGCCGGAGACGATGATGCGTGAGTTAATGTTTGACAATCAGAATAGGTACAATCAGATGAGAGTCTCCTTAGCTTAAGAGCATAGTGAACTTGGATCCATCAAGAAGGCAATCATTAGACTGGAAAAGTAACTGGATGGCAAGGAGCGGAGACGGAGACGATGACACGTGAGTTCTGCCTATAACCTTATGTTTCATTATCAGAAAAAATCATTATGTAGCACCAAAAGAGATGTCCGTGAGCTGAACGGCGTGGAGACCTTGAAGCTCGTATATAAGAGACAATCATCAGGCTGGAAAAGGATCTGGGCGTCAGGCAGCGTGACGGAGACGCTTCAGCGTGAGTTAACCCTTTATTTCACGATCGTAAAAGTTAATTATGGAACAATCAAAACAGACTTTCGTGAGCTAAACAGCATGGAAAAATTAGAAGAAGACGGTCACAGGCTGTAGACAGAGCTGGACGTCAGGAAGCATTCTGAAGAAGATGACGCGTGAGTTTACCTTAGTTTTGAAAATCAGAATAGTTAATTATGCAACAATCAGAGCAGACTCTCTAGAGCTGCACAGTTTGAAAAAAACAGTTATCAGGCTAGAGAAGAAATAAAACCCCAGGAAGAGTGCCGGAGATTACGATGCGTGCGTTAACCTTATGTATGACGGTCGTGATAGTTTTAATGCATCAATCATAGGGAGCGCCCATCAGCTGCCCAGCTTGAAGACTTTGGTGACACTAAAGAAAACAGTCATCAGGTTGGAAAAAAATGGAAGTGCGCCGGAGACAATGCTACACGTGAGTCAACTTACCAATAAAGTAAGTAACACATCCAGTTGAGGCCCTGACAGGTATCAGTTTCGCACATGAGCTTCTTAACCTGGAAAGCCTAGAGATCATGAAGAAGATCAGAGATGTATCTCAGAATTGAGAATGAGTAGGACGCCGGAGACGATGCGTGAGTTAACCTTATGCAATTATCAAAGGAAACAGGAATATTTGCTAGTTTGCCATACACGCCCGTAAATTGGTTAGCGGGTTGGTGTCTTGATGTGTATGGGGAATATTACTCATGAAAGATAATTCAAGGATAAGTTTCCTCCAAAAAGACAGCAGGATAATAACACTATTCTTCAGTGTTGTGTTGAATAATGTTAGTAACGTTGCCAGAAATGCAAAAATGGTGTTATTTGGTTATTTTTAGGGTTTCGTACTCCAAAAGGGGAAAAAACGGAACCCTTATAAGATCACTTTATTGCCCGTCTGTCAAGACCCCGTATGTCGAAAACGCGTGGAGGCATCGAGTAAAAACAAAAAGCTTCTCTTATACTCCCTTGAAGCTGTGAAAAAATCAAACTTGTAAGTTAACGTAAAAAAGAGATACGTTTTTTTGCGTACCTACTGTTTATGTTGCGTTCCAGATTTGTAATGTGTACGGAACCCTCGGTGGGCGAGTCCAACTAGCACTTGTCCGGTTTTTTGTTTATCCTTTTATTGAGTTAAACAGCACAAACTTTATTATAGCGATCTTTTTAATCATTTTACCGATCTATAAATCTAAATGTAGTGGCGCAACATCAGCTGTGAAAGAGAAAGAGAAGTTTGAAAAGGAGAAGGCGAGACTCCAGGGAGAGTTGGATGGCATGAAGCTGCGGCTCACCAACGCGCTCGGGTACATAGAGGAGATGGAACAGCGGAACACTGCGGCTGACGAGACCATCGCCAAATTAGAGGAGAGGTTGGAGGTAAGTATAATCAACAATACCAACAGCCAAGTTGAAAACACGACTGATCTAACTGCGAATACAGTGGCCATGGCTCCAATCCCGGAGATGGCGAATATTTGTTTGATGAATACGCACATTTTCCTTCCTATGCCATTTAAGTTATAAGAATCTATTGTATGTCAATACATACTTCAATAGATATTATAGCCTAGTTTGGAACTAGAGATTGTTGTAAAAGTAAAAAAAACTGGCTTAGCTTTTATCTGATCTTTTATAAGACTGTAGGAAACAATTAGGCGAATGAATTTAAAATTTACTCTATTCCATTTTAGGAAGCAGACAATAATGCTGTTAGACAAAATCGATTGGTTGAACACCTGAAAGGGGAGAGCGACACCTTGAGAGCTGAGGTTGACAGCAGAGGAAGTACCATAGCTACCCTCAACGACAAGGTAAGATCTTATAACATAAAAACTTTTGTCTTGCAGACAACTTGCAGCTTAAGAAATTTGAACACGACCATTATGGTTTCGCTACCCGAGTTGGCTAAGCAACAAAAGTGGAGCTTGTTAAATCTTTTATGATCTGCCAATGCTGTTGGGGGTTTAAATGATATAAAAGTATATATTTATGTAAAATTTCGGAAGGATATTAGTGACTAAACAATACAAGCTTAAAGTAACTAAATATCCATATAAAATTATACTGGACTGAAATATACTAACCGCTATGCTACCATAGCGGTTAGTATATTTCAGTCCGGGTAGCGAAAGGCGCTGGTTTAAATCCAGCCTAATACCTAGGAACCAACTGGATTTTTTTGTAGTGAAAAATTCGAAAGCTCATGTAAGTAATTTTATATGGACAGATAGATGATAATTCTTTTTTAAACACACCGCATTATATAGTACAAAGTTAGGACAATAATTACAAATAGTGAACAACTAGCGGTGTTATGGCTACATTTTCTTCCAGACAAACATGCCGTAGAATGGAGAGACGAAATTTAATTATAGAAGGGGTGTGCGATTATCAAATAAATAAAATACAACCATGATTTACCTTATTACTCTGCATACTATAAAATAGAAACTTTGATAAAATTATAATAAACAAATAAAAATATACATACAAATAATTACATTACATTTTTTAATTAATTTAATAATAATAATATGATGCAAGCATGGGAACAACACAAATAATTATTGTGAAAGGAAAAAATCTTTTACCTCACGTTCAAACTTTCATATAGTCTGCGCATGTCTAATCTCGACAGGAAGAGAGTTCCAGAGGCGCACAGCTTCGACGCAAAATATTACCTACTATACAAGAATATAGTATAATTTTATATGGATATTTAGTTACTTTAAGCTTGTATTGTATAGTCACTAATATCCTTCCGAAATTTTACATAAATATATACTTTTATATCATTTAAACCCCCAACAGCATTGGCAGATCATAAAAGATTTAACAAGCTCCACTTTTGTTGCTTAGCCAACTCGGGAAGGAATATAATGCTAAGGTTATCTATATACCTATCTGAATCGTAGCTAAGCAAAGCCGAGAAGAGTATCGAGCGTCGGGACAGGCAGCTAAAGGACACGACCAATAAACTGGAGACAGCCAAAGCGGAAGAAACAGCCGCCCTCGAGAAGGCCACGCACTTTCGAGAGACCCTGGAGGCGACCAACACCAAATTCGAACAGACCAAACAAACTTTAAACAACACCAGTAAGGAGCTTAAGGTGACTATACACCGTGTTCCAGAGGTTATACACTAACTTTGGCATGTTATTCAGACTATTCAATTGATATTTTTTTACTATGGATACTTTTATGAATTCCAATTTCTTTATATTTTTTTATTTTCATACAAACTAAATGCTTAGATATAATTTATCTAATATGAATTACTTTTTACCTGAGCTGGCAACGTCGCATTTGAAACTTTGGTTCACATGTCCACATAAACTTTTTGAAACTTTTCTTGACGTCAGCAATGTTTTTTAAAATTTTAACTTTTGAAACTATGACTTAATGACCATTGACAAAGAGTTGATAGTTTGATATTTTTGGTTGCACAAAGTGGCAACATCTCACAGATAAAGACTCTTTCTCACTGCACAAAACAATTAAGTTGGTTAAACTTAAATTACCAATAACTTAAAAACTATGCTATTTAAACTACTACTTTCCTTGTACGATATGTTTAACAAGAGCTATAGAAGTATTATTCAAAGTTAATGTATATCCTCAGGAACACGGTGTATATCTATATGCTAAATGATGTAATGAAAGGTGATTTCACAAGTATATCTGAAGTCATTCTTCAACTTGACGACTCTGTATGTAACAATACACGGGAGAAAAAAACAGCCCTTGCTGAGTTTCTTGCCGGTTCTTCTCAGTACAAGGTCTCCCGTCGTAGTTTTACCAACCGATGGCGTAGCTTCTTGATCTTCATAAGTGCTTGTTACAGCCTAGACTAAATAAATGGTTTATAATTTTAATTTTGAGTACAGAGAGTTTAAATAATACTAAACTTGAAGTGGATTTGAACAACAAAGGAACTAGACGGCGAATCCACTAAAAATCTTCAATATAATTCACGTAATAATAACATATTACTACTCCTAGTAACGATTGGTATTTGTTTATCAATCGTTAGAAGAACTGAATAACTAACGAAACCCAAGTTCAGATATAATTGCGATTTTCGCTTCTTTTCATTAAAACTTCACATAATGGCTAAATAATAATGAGGATAGCTATATTTGTAAAAAAACAACGATGGCATCCCATAGCGTCTACTTGATCTTTGACTAAAAATTATATATAGGATATCAAAGATTAATTAATACAATTAATAAAGTATTTAATTGTACCCTAGAACATGATCGACGACGGTAACAGACTACGCAACGAGGTGAGCAAGCTCACCAAACAAGGGATGCAGCAGATGAAGAAGTATACGCTTCTAGAGCAGAACAAATTCACAGTCGAATCAGAACGGTAAGCATGAGAGATTCTTATCAGACTAAGAATAAATTAACCATCAAATAAATATATAAATAAGTTTTAGACATAAGCACATTGCTCTGATTTTATAAGTAGGTAAGAGAATTAGTGTATAAAGTAGTTTTTTTACTTGAATTGGACTGGGGGAAGTAACTACTAAAACACCTGAGAGCACAGTAAACCATCTTAAAATCGTTTACCTTCATGATTAGTGAACGTCTGCGGCAACAAGTCAGTGTGATGGAGAGAGAAATCATGTTGGGGAAGAAGCAAGCTGAAGCTGATAAGAGGGAGATAGAAAACCTCAATAGGGAGAAAGAGATCCTGAACAAGAACATGCAGAAGGTCCAGAGTAAGTGTCGATAAACATAAGTATATCATGCATGATTTTTAGGGTTTTGTACCTAAAAGGTATACAAACCAAACTATGGTATGAAACAGTGTCTAATTAATTGTAATTATATATTTATTTAAGTATTTTCTCCCAAAACTTAACAAGAGTACAGACTTTATGCTTTATTGTAGGAGACAGGAGTCCAAAATAGGTAAGCCCCGTGCTGAGAAATCTTCTGGTATAACTTTACATACAACCCGCAGGGTTTTGTTAAATTCTGACCACAAGGCGACCTGTAGTATCATTCAAATCGGTATTTATTTTTATACCCTTTCCAAAAGGTTTACTCCAAAAGGTTAAAGAGGAAAGGCGGCGGTGGTTAGTTTTTTCGAAAGGACTTCATTGCTAGAAGAATCATGCCAAACATTCAAATTGAGGAGTTCGAAGAAGCGCATTCCAATTGGATAACAAAAACTTATTATCTCGAGCTCCTCCGTACTTCGGTAGGCACGTTAAGTCGTTGTACCCGGCTGCATCTGCAGTAGTAAGGACCCAACGTACTGTGCTAGCGTACTGAGTGTCCAGTCTTCCTATTCCATCCATAGGTTAGGCCTGTGTCCCAGAAATAGGGACTTTAATACGATGCTGATTCAATACTTTATAGACGCGGCCTTGGAGAATCTGCAGATGCTGCACCTAGCGGAACAACGCCTCAAGCAGATGGAGCACGAGCTGGAGCTGAGCGCGGCGCAAGTAAACAAACAACGCCTCGTCATACGGCAGCTGGAGAAGGACAAGGACAGGTATATACTAGAGAAAAAGAAAGAAAATGTACCCAAATTTATTCACTATAGTACTTACCTATCTTAACAAAAATAAAACAATTTGACTGCAACGGCTTCATCTCAGTCTGTGCCCCATCCTGAGATGTGGCGCTGATTTTCAAATGCAGCCGAATTGAGAGGGGAGATTAAATTGCAGACTATTTTATACATTTACATTGGACATAGCCATATTCGAGGAGCTCGATGGCGCATTGGTTAGCACGTTTGGTCTGCAATCCAGGAAGTTAAGGAACTTCCGCAACAGCCAGTCACAGAATGGGTGACCAGGCCGCGCAGGTCAAGAAGGACGACAGATATATACTTTTAACAAAGAAATATTGGAGGCATAAATCTATTTTCTCGATCTCCACTGTGTTTTGGAAAGCACGATAAGACGTGGTCTCGGATGCATCTGCAGTCGTATGTGTAAGATTTGTTTTCAGTGATCGATACAGTTGAGTAGAAAAACACTACGAATTATCAGCTCGAATCGGAGCGCTCGTCTAGGGAATTAACCTCCATCATACAGAATACGTACCAAAGTGAAAACACACTACCGCTTCTTTGTGTTGTGTTTCTGTCGGCAAGTTAGGTTCCAGGGGGCCAATCGCCTAACGGAAATGCTTTGGAAAACGCTAACGCTTACGATTTTATTTTGTTATTTCTAGCCGCCTGAGGTATTCAAATGCCTCGCACTCTTTCTTTTTCTTTTGCATTGGTAATAACAATATTAAAAAAAACCGGCCAAGTGCGAGTCGGACTCGCGCACCGAGGGTTCCGTACAAACCTGCAAGGTTTACAAAGTTCGTTCATTACGACAATCGAGTCATAACTATGGTATTTTTATTGCAAAATGAAATTCATAACATTACAATGGGGAAAGATGGAGGAGCATAAATTTAAGACAAAGATCTCTTTATCGTTTAAGTAATCCTTTATTTTATATTAACACATATCATTTATCTATAATATAACTGAAACACTTATACTAGCCTTGCAGCAGACTTGCGAAAGTTCTTTTATTAAAGTTATTTATTTACTAAGTTTTTTAGTCACTATTTAGAAATCTGGTTCAAAAATATTAATTAAGTATTAAATTTGAACCAGACCTGTAAATGGTGACTGAAAAAGTTATGAATAGTACCACATTGAACATTGAAGTTCGAAAAAACGTTATCAATAGTTGTACAACTTCGTGTAGTGCTACTGTTTATTAACGGAAACATGTTTATGGATGAAAAATATGTGGAAATTCCATTTTGGGGATTCATTCTAAAATCTATATTGAAGTCTCCCACAACAATCAGACGAGAAGATGAAGTGTACATATTGAGGTTGCTGCCGAATATTGTTGTATTTATACATTATATTGCAACATTAACACTTTAAGCAGTTAGGACGCATTTAGATTATACAGCTACATTCACCAAAACATCGGGATTAAATGACGATGAGTGAGGTCGTCTTTGCCGTTTGAAAAATGTTGCCCTCCCCATACATAGTATAATAACTCGCGGTCATTGCTGTAACTACAATTATGTTTACAATCACAATTTTTTTGGTGGTATAACTACTTAAAATTTTAAGCTTTTCGGAATTTTTCTGTTACCTGTCCTGTAAGCTATTGCTTCTTACCAAATTTCGAGATTCTATGTCAACGGGAAGTGGTCTTTAGGTTTTAATTCCCTTGCGTGTAGTTGCGAGTTTCAAAATATGCGGTATCAATGGTTGTACTTTTGCGTTTTGCGTTTTTGCGTTGACTTAGATTTTTTTTTTTCACGGGTTAAAGGCAATTAGATCTAAGTATTTGATATGAATTTCAACTTGATAGCTCTACGCGTTCATGAGGAAAAAAGTAATAAGTTTATATTTATTAAAAAATATATATTTTGTAATGTAACTAAAAATTTAAGGTTTTCGGAATTTTTCCTTTATGTGTGCTATAAAACGTTGCTTCATGCCAAATTTCAAGATTCTAGGTCGACTGGAAGTACCCTTTAGGTTTTGATTCCCTTGCGAGTACTTGCGAGTTTCAAAATATGCAGCTTAAATTGCTGTTTCTTTTGATTGCGTTGACATAGAAGTTTGATTTTGTTACAGCTTAAAGGTATTATAGACCTGAGTATTTGGTATGAATTTCAATTTAATACCTCTATGCGTTTATGAGGAAATGGGTAGTAAGGTTAAAATTATTAAAAATAATATATTATGTGATGTAACTAAAAATTTATGGTTTTCGTAGTTTTTCCTTTATCTATGCTATAAGACGTTGCTTGGTACCAAATTTCAAGATTCTGAGTTCACGGGAAGCACCCTGTAGGTTTTGATTCCCTTGCAAGTGTCGAAAATTTGCGGCATAAACGGCTGTATCTTTTGATTGCGTTGGCTTAGAAGTTTGATTTTTTCACAGCTTTGAGGGACAGTAGACCTGAGTAATTGATATAAATTTCAGCTTCATACCTCCACGCGTTCCTGAGAAAAAGGGTCTTGACAGACGGACGGACGGACAGACGGACAACAAAGTGATCCTATAAGGGTTCCGTTTTTCCTTTTGAGGTACGGAACCCTAAAAATGAGCGTGAGGTATTCGAAAACCTCAGGCGGCTAGAAATAACAATATAAAATCGTAAGCGTTAGCGTTTCCCAAAGCATTTCCGTTAGGCGATTGGCCCCCAGGGCTTACGATTAGGTGTGATCAGAATTGACAACGCGCATTCTCTGGTATCGTCTGGTAGCATCTATAAACTATGGAGGCCGCTTACCATGAGATTGGCCAAAATACGCGTTTACCATCCTCTTACAAAAGAAATCTGCCTTACACAAAATAATCAGGTAACTTTAGGTACTTCAACTGTATATTAAAGAGACAGAAGGAGCAAGTACCAAAAAAAAACACAAATTACATCCAATTTTATCCCACTCATATTGTTAATCACTGTTTTGCTTTACAGAATGCTTGAAGAGACAATTGCCCTCAATGAGAAAATCGACGAAATATCCGGTGGGTGATTTTTAAATTGACATCCTTTGCCATTGCCATACAATGTCACAATCAAAACCAGGTAGAATCTAAATTTAATTGGGCAAAGTAATTTAGTGGGTTCCAATCCGAAATGAATAGTTTTATATAAAGTTATGTCTTGTCTTATTTAGCATTCAAAATACACAAATAAAATAGTAGCGGCCTTAGAACATGCTAAGGTAGCAGCCGACATTACTTACTCGGCAGAACAAAAAGGTGTATAGTTTATATATTTATACTGCCAGCATCAGCAGGCTGTATTTGTATCTGTAGGAATGGTCTTTTTTTTGAGACGCAGGCAAAACCTCTGTTTACAGACGACGGCGCCTTTAAGAGGCACATTGCCGAACGGACCTCACACCCTGTACTGGCAAACGTCACGGGCACGATGGGGCCAACCCCCAAAGTAACCCGCGCCATTAACGAGCACGCTTAACGGCGTACTACCCGCTAAAAACCCTGCGAATACCCTCTAAGCTTCTTAGTGCGAATCCGCGGGATCACCGTTTAGGGAATGGCCTGGCCTTAAGAAGTTACAGTTACGGCTTCATCTGTGGTCGTAAGCACCCACCAATCCGCAGTGGGCCCGCGTGGTAAAACATGGCTCGTTCTCCCTGTTACTTCTATAGGGACCTACCTTACCCAGCAGTGGGGACATTGATACTCTGATGACGATGATGAGATTAGAGTTCAGACTCGGATAAATACCCATTGTTTATAGCAGGGGAGCCCAAGCGGGGATTTTTGGATTTACACGAGCGCGGCAGAATAACATATGGGGAGCAACTTTGCACCTAGTTAAGTACTCCTACCATACCTGAGCCCTCTATGTAGGGCCGAACGTCTAGGGCAGCAAAAACAAAATTTCAGCGAACGGTCATGACTTTTGATCGCGCCCATATCGTCAGTCTTTTGAATATAATCTACTAGAGGGTTTATGTAACATTTCTAAGAACGGAAAAAATATTGATCTGCCGCGGTTTGCATGATATGGGGGTGGCCGTACGAAGGGGTAGAATATAGGTAAAAATAACCGAGCGCGTCAGACATTGAGAAGGGATGTTACGTGAACCCTCCTATTCAAAAGACTGACCATTTGGACCAGACCAAAAGTCATGGCCGTTTGTTAAAATTTTGTTTTTGCTACCCTAGACGTTCGGCCCTACATGGACGGTTCAGGTATAGTGGGAGTACTTAACTACGTGCAAGGTTGCGCAAGGTTGCTCCCATATGCTCCAGTAAATCCAAAAATCCCCGCTTGGGCTCTCCTACTATTATACTATATTATGTGACATAATTTGACGTGACTTTTAATGTGTTGTTTAGAAAAGTTATTTTTACCCATGGCTAATTTCTACGCCCCGTTGCACCAAATAGTGACCAAAGTTAGCCCTATCCATTGATATAGGCTTTTACTACATAATTGAACATCCCTTTCCAACTATATATTCAATTTGAGAAAGACGAAGCGATTAGGCGGTCCATAGTTTGTATATGTATTGGGTATTTTTCTCTCTTTCTACAGAGTTGTCATTTTCATGCGAGTATCGCTCTGTTCATTCTTCATTGCTTTGATGCAGAGGAAGTGCGTCTCCGCACTGCTGACATCCTGGACTTGAACAAGGCGCTGAGAGAAGAAACACTGAAGACCCGCAAGCTTTCCGTCACCCTGGATGCCACCCGAGCGGAGAGGAACATGCTGCACAAGAACTACACCGAATCACTCGACGAGATACAGGACTTGAAGCAAAAACTGAAGGTAATTTTAATGAATATCGCCGCACTGCAGACATTCTGGACTTGAATAAGGCGCTCAGCGGACACCTTGAATCCCGCAAGCTATCCATAACCTTAGACGTCAAACCGGGCGGAGAGGAACGAAATATAGGACTTTAAGCAGAAACTTTACTTAATCTCTTTAACGAAATATTCGAAATTTTGGGTTCTGAAGAAATCTTTATTTTTAAATTGTACCGCCACTAAAGGAAGGATGTAGAGGCTAAGCTATGGCAAGACTGGCCCTTCACGATCAAATTGATTGTATTTTGAAGGTAGGTGACATCAGAAGCCGCAAAAACCGATGAGCGTGTATGTATGAAAAGAGTCATGAATGTGAATGAAGCGAAAGATGTGTCTATTTACCTCAACCGTGACACGACGTGAAGAAAGTTAATTGAACTTCGAATCCTCTACCAACATCACATTGCCTTCACGCATCAATTATTTTTAGCGTATTGTCTGCGTGTACCGGCTTGAATCTGTAAACTTTTACCAAACCTCGACAGCAATTTTTCTTTCGATAGATTACCACCATTAACTCTGAGTAAACAAGTTTTATTTAACCTGCTATTCAGATGCTGGCGTACCAAATCGAACAGCTGAAAGAGGACATCAGCGGCAAAGAAACAGGGCTCAAGTCTTGTGAGGGAACTCTCGCCAAGTGCAATAAGAAGGGCGAACAACTCCGAGCGGAGATACAGGCGGGGCTGGCCAAGCTGTCTGATGCGAGGGGAGATATCGCAGCTCTGAGACAGGAAGAAGCCAGGCTTAATAGGATTATAGCGGTTTGTATATTCCTCCTAAATAGATATATTTGTTCCTGCTGGCCATTAGCATACAAGAGCTGTCCGACACTAGGGGAGACATTCGTTAAAACAAATTCTCAATATCGTCTTTATATGCGACGAAAACAGAATGTAGACTCATCAGAGATTCACGAGGCTGCCTCACCTATCTTGATTTCTAATACAGGAAGGGGACACAGCTCGCGCGAAACTTATGAAAGATCTGGAAGGACTTATGAATGAGAGGGACGTTGTAGGCGCTCAACTAGTCAGACGCAACGACGAGATCGCCCTGCTGTACGAAAAGATCAGGATCTTGGAAGTCACTTTACATAGAGGTAACGTTATATTATGTAGAAGACAGTTACTATAATATTACTAATTGTAATAAATTGATACGTTTCACTCCGCGGGCCCAGTGCGGATTTGTGGGTGCTAACGACTGCAGATGCAGCCGGTACCAACACCTTAACGTGCCTTCCGAAGCACGGAGGAGTACGAGTTAATAAGTTTTTGGTCACCCATCCAATGACCGACGACTGCGAAAGTTACTTAACTGAAGTCCTCGCTTCGAATGGGGTCCAAAATTATAATGTCAGTTCACGCTTGACAATAATTTATTCAGCACACAATACTACACTTACTGTACACTGTTCAAGTCCTTATATTTATTCTTATTATACACTCGTAACTGCACCGTAATCGCCTATGACGCATTCGAGAGAGATCCAGTTAAATTGAGAGTTCCCTAGTTATACCGTTGAGGACTTTACGCAGGTAGCACGCATGAGTTGTAAGCACTCTTTGGGTAGTAACTACTTTGAGCCAGGTAGAAAAATCTTATGCTGACACTTCTGACGACTATTTGTAAACTTGACAAAAGTCTCTCCTTATATATATATATCCATTCTCTATATGGAATTCCCTGCTTTCCCTGCTTAACCAGCTTTCAAAATGACAAATAGCAAATACGAATAGCCATGTGTAGTGCGGCATTACGCTTTTTTTCGCCTAGCCCTAGTCCGTACGATCCGAAAAGGTACATCATTCCTAAATTTGTGATAATATCAAACTAACGGTATAGAATTCGGGCGGATGCACTACACCCCAATGTCCTTGGGCTGCAAGGCTTCGCCACTTCTAAGCCGGCTGACTGAAATAGTTACATTTTAAACGATACTCATATCCTAAACGTGATGACTTCATGATCAGGAGAACGACAATACGAGCAGCGAGTGGAAGACATCCGTCTGCTGCGACTGGAGATCATCAGACTGCGCAAAGAGAAGAACCTGCTTTCGAAGGGCATTGAGAACATGACTGACCTTAGACTTGAGGTAGGTAAAAAGTAAATAAGATAACCGAATTAAGTTGTCAGAATATTAAATCTACAAAAAAAAAATCTAGAAAAGGCATAAATATGTAATAAGAATAAATAAATCGACAGAATTATGCCGCAATTACATTTACACGAAAGACATTACTCGAATTCGGGCACCCGAAGCAATATTTACAAAAGCAACACTGGAAAACGGGCTGAAAGACGATGTCGAGTAAACAAAAGGAAATGAACCTGATTACGGACGTACTCGATTCCGTCCATTTACACTAAACTTAGTCGTTTACCCGAATTCCATTGGCACTCTTATTCGGGCTACAACCAAGTGGAGCCTTACACCAATAATAACATAAATACGTATATTCGCATATACACGGCCAAATTAACCAAGGTCCAACTAGAACTATTCAACGACATTTTTATCTGTGATCTATAAAAAATAGTGAAAATGAAAATGAAAAAATATATTTATTGGAACTAATTAAAGTTACATTTATAATTTAGGTTCGTTAATAGCTTTTTTTAGTTTCTAGAACTGTGTTACAGCTATTAGCGCCCACCTCCAGATGCAGAGACGTGTATTCCATAATACATATCTTTATATATATAATTCTTCTGTGAGTGTGTATGTCACTGAACTTCTCTTAATCGACTGGACCGATTTTAATGAAATTTTTTGTGTGTGTTCAAGGGGATCTGAGAATGGTTTAGATTCACAATTTTGTCCGCTGGACAACCCCTATTTTTTTAGGGCGGTACGAAGTTCGCTGGGTCAGCTAGTAAATCAATAAAAATTACAACCCTTAATACAATTATTACTATCTTACCATTTACTCACAAAAGAGTCTAAACTAAAAATGAGGTCCGCCGCTTTCTTTGAAAATGCCTCTCAGAGCTGGTTGCAGCTAGTGCTTTTTAATAATAACGGCTTTTTAATAGGAGTCATTACGGAAGTAAGTAGGTACCAATTTTTTTCATTATTTTGATGTTATGATATTCACTTTAGTTTGATGTTTATCACGGGCTATAATAGGAATTATTTAATTTTATGCTGTGTTTGAAGTTTGAAGGTTAGGTATTATTTGATAAAGGTGAATGCTGGTGTAGACCAATTCTCAGAATCTCACTTTTTCCAGTAACCTACAAGTGTCGCTAATATTTTTTTATTTCATTTGTCAAGAGAATAATTATCGTATTTTATTTGCTGATTCGGTAGACATTTAAAATACATTTAATTAAGTAGAGTTACCAGTGATCGACACGATGTAGTTTCATCATCATCATCATATATTTGGTAGTTTTCTTATTTTTGGGCTTAAACCGAAATGCATATTATACACTACGTAAGTGAGGAATGGATTTCGGTGACATCTACATCTACCTTATTCAATTAATTCCTACGCCAACAAATTATTGACAAAAAGGCGTGATCATATTTGCTATATTTCTTTATTTTTCTGCAGTGTCTTACAGGTAAATGACTTTAATTTTATAAGTAAATATGTTAATTGATAGTATAAGTGGTAGTGAATCTCTTTAAAATTTCTGCATTGGTGTTGTGTATCGTTTTCTACTGCTATTGCTTGTAAACGAGTGAGAGATAAGTCCATGTAAGATAAGTCTGATCTGTGCTACTCTACTATTTATTATAGTAATTAAAATTAATTGCACATTGTCTGCCTGAACTATTCGACACGATATTCTCAATCTATGTGTTCAGATCTGTTTTTGTATAATCTTTATATATATAATTCTTCTGTGAGTGTCTATGTCACTGAACTTCTCTTAAACGACTGGACCGATTTTGATGAAATTTTTTGTGTGTGTTCAAGAGGATCTGAGAATGGTTTTGATTCACAATTTTGTCCGCTGGACAACCCCTATTTTTTTAGGGCGGTACGAAGTTCGCTGGGTCAGCTAGTAACTTTATATTTCTTTTTCTTTCTTTCCTTTATTATATGACGGAAGGCGACTTCGTGAATTATATTTTAATGAAGTAATTTTTCAAGTTAACGTCTCAGTATAAACCAATAACACAGGAAAACAAATACAGCCTCTGAGTTTCTTAACCGATTTCGATTTTTTCATGATTTATAGATTAGTTTAAATAGATTACCTCTCTCTCTGGATTTAAATATCAGCATACATAACTTCGACCGAATGACGATATACATTACTACATAGAAACGGAGATGTTCTTCAAGAGTGAAATAATAGTGGTAAGTACGTAATGTATCGACAGAGCTGTCGAAGCTTGTTATGGTGACTTTTGAGACATGTTTCATGTTTAAGCTGTGAAATGATACGTCCATATATCATATAGAAGTTCATTGCATCTGAGCAAGATGACTGGTATATTGCGTCAGTTCCTCAATAAATCGTCATTTTAACTCTATTCCGTGAGGTACGAGAATTGACTGTGATTCTATCATTGGAAGATGATTGGCATAGGCTGAATTTCTTTATGAACCACAAACCAGCTAATATCCCAAAATTGACGGTAGACCACCGAAGAGAGCACCTTAACTTTGCACGTGAGAACTTAAATTTGTCATCCAATGGAACAAAGTTCTGTTTTCTGACGAGAATAAGATCATGATTTATGGTAACGATGAAAAAAAGAAGGTGCATACAAGGAAGGGAGACCTTTTTGCACAAGTGCTGCACTGTTACGTTACGGTATTAGACGATTTGGGAAGGCATAAGCGCCGATGAAAAAACCGAGTTAAAACAATGAGAGAGCTCATGCAGCAGGCATTGTAAATGAATACCTGAATGAAATCCATATTGCGGTTAAGGGCTGGCCAGCAAGAAAGCCGGTTGTGAATCCCATAGCACAGCTATGGAATGAGTTGAAGTGACGAATCAGAGTGAGAAATCCTGCTCCGGAGACACTTGGCCAACCTAAAACAGCTATACAAGAAGAATGGAATAATATATATCCTATAACACAAGATTGTGACTCTCATTCGTCCCTCAAGGAACCGCATGGAAGCAGTCACTCAGTCGTCAAGTGTTTCTATTTACAGTTCATACATATTAATTAAGTAAATTGCCTATCTATTTTCTCTGTATTGTTTATTTTATTTTTACTTTACCAATCCATTTTCCGTTTAGTCCTATGGTGGATTGATAAAAACGTCTTAAGGCATCTGCTATTCATTATATGAAAATAAAATGTAAATAAATCATCATCTGCCTCTAATTATTCCCACTTCTGAGATACAGGGCCATCCATACAGCCCATTTTCCTTATTCTGCCGTCTCTATATCACCAGTAAGTAATTATTGCAACCGCGACCAACTTATTAACATGCTTTGGGAAGCACGGAGGAGCTTGTGATGAAAATAAATAGTCACCCATTCTACATCCGATCATTTCAAAAGCTGCTCATATACCACGAGTGTGCGACTATGCTGTCCATTCGTAAACGAATTTTGTGCGGTAGTGCGCCATCGAGTCATACCGAACACGGTGGGTGAAGACTGCGCTATCGAGTTCCGTAGGTCTATCTGTTACCGTAAATAAATACCTTCTCAGGTGTTCAACCTGGAGCGCGAGTTGGGTCGCGAGCGTCTGCGCGTGCGCGCGCTGGAGGAGGCCTTAGAGACGCCGCTGAACGTGCACCGCTGGCGCAAGCTGCAGGGCGTCGACCCCGCGCGCGTCACGCTTGCGCACAAGCTGCGCCTCACGCAGAAGTATTATTATATAATTATCATCATCATCGCTCAACCATACGACGAAGCAGGACCGATAAATCTATACGTTTATCGGTCCTGCGCTGTCCGCATCTATCGACTTACCGCTACCTTCAACATCGTCGGGCCACTTGGTATGGCGCCACGCCTACCCACTTGAGTCTCGTCCGGTGCGTGGTCGCCACTGGAGAACTTTTCCGCCGACATTCGAACTAGATGTGGTTAGGAAGTTAGGAGCGAGCGCGACTATTCGCAAATTTCAGCTCAGTGATATCCGGATCTACATCCACATAGACATATAATGTACCGAGTATATTAGCCAGAGTTTAGATAAATTCGAACGCGTACTAAACCGGTCACCCAATCACTATTCACAATTTTGCGCGGAGTACTCGCACGATATCGCTTTCTCTCTTTCTAGAGAGTAAATAATTTCATGCAGATTTTGCTCAGTCTATTAACTATGTCTCTAAACATTCTGCGTGCACCCTACATCTTAAAACATATTATACTAATTTCGTTTACTGCAATACTTGCGCTAAAATCGGAGCCGCCATTTTGTTTGAATCGCATTATAACCACTACTCGCCCCAAAGCATTCCGACCCTCATTGGCAAAGGACTTTTCCCAACAAACAATATTAATACAGAAATGTAGTATTTGATTCCCTAATATAGTGGGATACTATATTATATAGTAGGGTTGGCAACCCTACTATATAATCGCGGACAATCCCTGAATGATGAAAAAATGTCCGCCGAGGATTTGCCACGGACTCAGCGCACAGGTTTTTGCTCGAATATTTAGCGAAACGCACGCTATGGAAGAAAATATTCTCTGATTAAGAGATGCGGGCGACAGGCACATTATTGTCAAAATTGCGCCCGCCGCCTGCACGTCTCACAGCCCCCGTTCTCGTCTCCCCCACACCCTTTACCCCGCAGGCGAAAACTCAGTTAAACAGTCTACCTATAGTTACATTGGTTCTTTTTTTCGGGGACACTCTCGTCACACTTGTCCAGTGCAGTCTATCGGTGTCCTCGGTTGTTAGGGGGACCTCTTGTACGTGATACTTTTAAACCCTAAGTTGTAAGCGATCTATTTTGGCAGACAAAAATTGCGCGGACATAAGTCCCTCGTCTGTAATTTTTCTCCTTAAAATTCCAACAGGGGCAGTAGACCCCTCTTTTTCATTCAAACGAAGTACAAAATAATTATAATTCATAGTCTATCTTCTGTGGCTTCAATGTCACGCCTCTGAGAACCAAATCAAACAAATTGTTTTCCTCGACTGCTTTAATAGTTTACTATTCTTGGCTAAACATAATTAAAATTACCTGCAGCCTTTTATTTGTCGCGTGATCATCGAGCCTCGTGCCCTGCCAAAGTTAATAGCTCTTTCGATTAAAGGTCGCAGTACATTAACCGCGTTCCTCGGAACTAGATCCGATGCCCAAGCACGAGCTTTTAACAGCTCCATAACGTATCGAATTATCATAATTTCTAAGAGAACTAAGTAGCACCCCTATCGGACAAAGGAACAAACTACGAGTAGCTTTATCCATGCAAAATTTCACGATTACGATACTTTACGGAGCTGTCAAAGGGTCGATTCGAGGGTTATGGTGTCCGCCCCCTCTCTTCGGACTTCACTTAACCCTAAGATGTGATCTTCCCAAGTTCTACCTCGAGTTGCGCCAGATGCGAGTCAAGCCGTAACGTGCATCCGTTGTACGTCGCCAGGGTCAGTCTATTGTGGTGGCCTCCCGTATCCCGGAGATTCTTCTTGGCACACCCCGCCCCGCCGTTACCGTGCTCGCCACTGAGACCAGGAATAGCGGGGCTGCCGGGAACTGGGGGCCGTGGCTTGTGTTTCTTATGCATAGAAGATTTTGCCCATAATCGCCGCGCTGGGCAGGCGGGTTGGCGATCGCAGAACGTAGGTTTATTCACTGATGACGCTGCTATCCGACGGTTAGATGGTTATACCGCCATCGGTCGGTTTGCCAGGCCTCGTCTGTTGCTCAACAGGGTGCACCACGTGAAGGTGAAGTTGGCTTGGGTTCTTGCAGGTATATTTAGAACCCCTTACATCCCTCATCTCGCTAATTGGTAATCACAAAAGGGAGGTCAAAAACAAGTACAAAAATTTAAATTGCCTTACGTAACAGACTTTGAAATTCTAACTTGCAACGTGGGTTCGGGCAAATGCGCTACCTAATTAAATGGTGTGCACCTTGAGTGGTTAATGTACTCCGACCATTAATGTTTAGAAGAAGACGTCCCAAGCGAAATCTGACCGCCAAACTAAATACTATCTCTCAGTCGATCTGCGGGCAATTACTGTCAGGAATGGGATTACATTTAATAGATTAATAATAATTATACGAAGCATGCTCGGAAAAACTTGTTGGAAGATAGAATTAGAATAGGATTAGAATAGAATTAGATTAGGTCTTTGCGTTACGAGCTCAGCTCAGTGCAAAAACTAGTGTTTAATTGTAAGCTTAGTTAAAAATGTTGTATTGGTGAATAAATATATTTTTGATTTTGATTTTTTGATGAGAAAAATGCATTTCGCCTTTTTGCTCGACAATCGAACGCGCAACTTAGATTAGATTAACCTACCAGGTACTTTTTAAACGAATTCTTTTATGTTGTTGTAAAAAAATGTTCTGTATATTTTTAACTTAAAAGAAAACCTTGATGCACTGATAAGCGATTGATATGTCCCTAAAGCTTAATTTTAACCACTGCCTAAATCAATATATTGTCTCACGCATGTGCGTGCCTTTCAACAGGCCAGTGTAGAAAACGTAGGTTTCGTATACATGTCACCGGCAATCTCAATGCAGGTATTCTTAGTCCGTTTGCGGAAGTGCAGATCTGCTCGCTCGTCAACCGCATTATTTTTTTTGCAATTTTCGGAATAAATATAATGCAATATAGTTCAAAGTCTTTTAAATTTTATACCCAGATGAATAAACCATTCACTCATTGTGGTGAAGTCGTTCTTATGATCGAACAACCCTTAGTACGACGATTTTAAAATCGAGCACCGCTCGCAACTAAAAAGTAATTTTTAAATTTATATGAATAAATACCTGAAAGATTATATTTTTTACAAAAATCTATTGTTTAGTTATTCAACTTTGAAAAGGTTATCAATGAAAAGCACAAGTATTCGTATAATTTATTCAAACGCATTTATGCCACCTTAGGCGCGAAATTAATTTTGTCTACGTTTCCTGTTAAAAATAAAAAGGTTGAAACAATTTATTTAGGAAATTACTAAAAAATAAGGTACATTGACTAACTATAATTGAAATAAAATATTTAGGTGCATGTCGACCGAACAATTTATTCAAGTTATTGAATAAATTACAAACCGTGTCGAGCGCGCGCTGCGGTCGCGCAATCGTCCCGCAGACGGTGGGTGTCAGGATAGAGATTGTATAGAGTACCTGCAGGCCCACGGAACACAGAAAACCATTAGAAGGGTGATCAGACTGTTTTACGGGAATAGATGTCGCCGGATCGCTCCCACTGAACTGCCACCTAATAGATAATAACCAATCAAACGACGCGACATTAAACAATCGAACCAATCAGCGCTTACACCCAAGAGCAACGACGCAATCAGAACCAAGTTTTGGTCAAGCTATGAGCATTTGCTCACACATTACTGTGGCGCGCCTGCCTCGCCCACAAGACCCTTCTAACCTCTTTCTGTGTTCTGTTTGCTGGCCCACCGGCAGTGTGTAAAATAAACAGATTTAGCCTGTATTTATTCTAACTAAACCTAACCTACCTAGTTGCATATAAAATGACGGACGGAATTAATAATTCTCACCCAATGAATTACAGACCAATGAACGTTTGGCCAATTCACAGTAGTTTAGGTTAAGTCAGTGTTGTGATCTAAACACAGCGTGAGCTGAGCGAGCAAAGCGAGCGTGCCGCAGTAGCGACCGGCAAAGCGCCAGCCATCTGATAGATAAATAATTATAGTAAATAGATTTACCAACTATAATAATAAAATACGTTGGCAAAGTATAAAAGGAATAATATTTCATACATTGCCTTGATGTTTTTGGCATTCTTTAAAATGCCGAATTATACAGATTGCCGTCGATACACATAAAGTTTAGCGGGACCTTTAAAAAAATTGTAGCCAGTAGGATATTTTTTTTCTGTTGTGAATCGAATTCAGTGAGTTGTAGAGTTCGCTTTACAACAGCTACAAATTCATAATATCTGTACATTTCTTCTAGTATAATCAAAAGCTAGGCTGTTACTGCCAAGTTTCAGCAATTATTGCAAATAACTGACGGAGAGGACACCAATTTGACCATGACATTTTTGTAAATGCTCTGATTTCGTAAAGTTGATGCTTTAGCGCAACGTGGTGTAAAATTTGGTGGTGTTTTTTTACTTAAGTATGTACTTTATCCTGTGTGTTATACAGGAAGGTCCTGGCTCAGAGCGAAATGTTGGTGCTGAAGGATCGCGAACTGAAGGAAACCCGGAACCTGTACACCGCCGTCAAAGATATGCTGGCTCTGCAGCCCAGCCCTGACATTCAGGTAAAACCTCGTTCGAATTAAAACAAACGCAAACGCGTTACAAAAAAGTTGGTATGAACCTGTCTAGAAATAAATAGTTTTCTTTTTTAAACACATTCTGAATTCTAACTTATCATGCTGAATTCTAACTTAGAGGTGTCCGGTTTCCGGTCACATAAATGTAGCGAAAAGCTAATCAATTGCTATTAGGAGCCAAACGCATGCGCGGTCCTAAGGGGGGGTTACGGGGAAATGACCCCCTCCCTCCAAATAGTTCACGTTAATTTAAAAACAATCATTTTCAAAACAAAAGAAAGTATGTATATTTCTGCCCTTAGCCGCGATGCATTTTATGTTCTGCTGGCATCACGGTGATTTTATAAACAACGCTGCCCTTAACAACCTATAAAGTGTGTGGTTTCTTCAATCGAAGTTTGCAACGAGCATCTCTACCCATATAAATACTTTGCTAAAAATTCTGGCAACACTTTTCTATAGGCAGAGCGAATATTTAGAACAGCTGCAGCAGCATAGAATTTGTCATTTTTTGTGCTAAGACGTGTAACTTAGTTGAGCGGAAACATGTTAAAAACAGGCTGACAGGTTTAGCTCTTCTAATTATTCTTCCAGAGTTAGCCCCAAGACATCCGAATTGTGTAATAAAATTGATTGTGTATTGTGCAATAAACAAAGGCGTGTTTACTCTATAGGCCACGGGCCAGGGCGGATGTCTTTGAAAATAGTTTAAAACGAAATAAAATCAGAACAGTTTGATTTTTGCCTTATATGACTGTATGACTCTATCCAGTCCGACCAACGGAACCGATCAACTAGAACGGATCAACTTTTATTCTTTCCTAATGTTCAATAATTTTTGTTCTCAGAAGTGCAACTTCCAACTAACATTTTATAAAATCATTATTTTGAATAAAGTACTACTAGATCTTACATGACTAAGAGGTTCTGGTAATAAAAGTGGCCAGTATGGCTAAACATAACAGAGCTGTGACGAGTACTCCATTTACAATTTTAATACTAAGTCCTGGTTTCTTACTATAGAAATCTGAACTTTTTCGACGTGGTGTGGTCGGACGTTTTATATAAAAAATTATATTAGTCGATTTAGAAAAATCGAATTGTCACAACATAAAGATTGGTTATGTCTGTGATTTTATTTAAAGTCGGTAATTTTAATTAAGTTCAGTTGTACCACCGTTGGGAACTAAAAAAATAATAATAATTAGGCATCTAAACAATTACTTGGTTTCATTGGAGCAAATACTTTAATCGAGTTCCATTCGGCACAACTAGTTTGTCGGAGTCGAAAGATGGGACTTCACTATATAAATCATATCTGCACTTTATAAATCAAACTAGTCATACTGGCTCTATAGCTGTATCTCACTTCAAAATCTTGTTTCAGCAAACGCTAACTAAAACACAGCGGGCCCTTGCGCAGAGGACGACTAAGATGAAGTGTTTGATTGCTGGTATTTATCTTAATTCAGCCTAAACATAATACACTTGTACACGTCGAGTCTTTCGCGTTGCTTTATAAATATAACATTTAACCGGTTAAGCGCGCACTTTAAAATCAATTCATTTATTTTATATCAGGCAACATCAGCCCATAATACAAAAATATACATTTAAATAAAATATCAAATTGGTTTGTAGTTGTGTTAGTAACGATTTTTACTTATGATACTGTGTTAGTCATTTTATTAGTAAATGTATATATTGAAATAAAATTTAAAATAACCTACATCCTATACTACTTCCATCCATTATTTTCGGATGGGGCTGTACAATCTTGAGACAATTGTTATCAAGATGCTGTTCTTCGAGCTCTGCAGACGCTGAATAAGTGACCATTATTCCTTAAAACAATCTGTTCGAGCACTGCTCCACCTCGGTAAATGAAGCAGCATCCTATAGCCTTAGCACGAACCAATATCGAATTCGTAACGCTTTGCGAGAACGAAATGCCATTGTCAAATATGTACTGATTTTTATATCTAGTTACGTACTTTGTGGCGCTGCACTTAAGTGAAAGGCTTACAGTTATGTTATACTTATTGTACAACCAACAACATTATCCACAGATTAATACTAGGATTGTTTTGTTGTTGTATATATATTTCTACTAGCTGACTCGGCGAACTTCGTACCGCCCAAAAGTAATAATTTGCAATAAATTAAAATTGCGACTATAATTTGAGATTTAAACTATCCTATCTCTCAAGTTGGATCGAACTGCACATGGTGTGCGAATTTTATTATAATCGGTTCAGTGGTTTAGGAGTCCATTGAGGACAAACATTGTGACACGAGATTTATATATATTAAGATTATTCTTTTTCTATACTAAAAGCAAAATATGTTGTACACTACACAAATAAGTATCCAGTAGAAACAAAAAGTAAGTAGTGTATTGGATGCGTAAGGCGTTAAAGTTAATTGATGAAGGTACGAAAACCTTTAATGAAGTGCGCGTTTTTGCCCGTTAAATATTATACAGCATAAACTAGATAGTGGTTTGACGTTTGAAGTACTAAGAGCATCCGTTGAATGGTATACATTTGGCCCCTTATTAATAAACGAAGAATAAGATTGGATTAGTTAATCCATGTTTTGTCTAAAGGCATGTGAGTGACATGAAAAAAACACGGCGTAACTAGGCTAAGCTTATTCCTTGTTTATTAATAAGGCGGATAGACAATTCGGGTAGTTCTTTATTCAGTAACATTGGAAAAGTACGCGAGGGCTTTCACTAGATAGTTCACCTTTTTTTATGTTATGTGGCATACTGATAATACAAAGTATATATGTTACCGGCAATCTGTATAATCCGGCATTCTAGTAATATAAGTTATTTACGGGATTGTTACCATGTACCTTGTTTTTAGCGAGTTTCCGATATTTCGGCACTGTTGCAAGCGCCATGATCACGGAGTAACTGAAGTAATTGCGGGTAGGCTGTTATTGGCTGACATATCGGTCTACCCTCCGACGAAGTCTTTTATTGCGTTCGATACCCGTACCACTATTCACATTCTCACTATTCACTCGAAACTGTTCTCGCCACACAACACTTACAGTATCGGATTGCGACACGACACTTTTTTTGTTATTTCCGGTTTTACACATACGAACCATTGGATTTCAGACACTCGACAATTTAAACCAGTCATCACGATTGAAATTTTTATGTTTTGTTATTTCAGTCGCTTCCCTGACCAATCTTGATATGTAGTGGCGTTCTGTCGAGATAATCTGTGGGTTATGAAACTCAATCCAGTGGTTAGGACCAGAATCAATCAAATGTTCCGCGATGGCTGATTTCTGCGTATCGTATAGTGCCGAAATATCGGAAACTTGCTAAAAACAAGGTACATGGTAACAATCCCGTAAATAACTTATATTACTATAATGTTAGTGACCATGAAAGTTTAAAAAAATATATATGCGGCATTCTATACAATACCTAGGCCAGTGTACAGCTGAGTTAAATAATATATTGGCAGTGCCAATGTTTCAAATTTTATTAATTTTAAACGTTATAATGATCATATATTTCAATCAAAGGACATTGGGCAAAAATGTATGGACGCTGCAGCCACGTCCGCCATGGCTTAAACTACATTTGTTTGAAAGGTATTATAGTCGAGATCATCTGTGCCAAAGCGCATCAAATTCCATCCCGGGGGTCTTTAGTTATTTTAAGTTAAATAGGTACAAGTACTATAACGAACGAACATCAATGAAACCAGGGAATTAATTTAGTTAGTTAATTCGACCCTACATAGGGTGCTCAGGAATTATGGGAGTACTTCACAAGGTACAAGGGTGCCCCCTTATGTTATTCTGCCGCACTAGAGTAAATCCAAAAATCCCCGCTTGGGTTGGGTTTTTTTTAAACATTCTGTTCGTTATAGTAAATTGTCTTCTATGTAAAACGGAGCGACCATAGATTACACAAACTTGTCCACGCTTCGGAGAACACATGATTCCAGTTCATCCATACTAATTGACAAAACCGATAATCGTGTTCCAATATCCAAAGCGTGTTAGATAAAAATCAATCAAGTAGCAGGGAGCGCACAATCACAACGAAGTAAGACGAGCCGACTATTTGCAACTGCAAGTCCTTCATCATCCGTAAACCGTTTTGAAATGTCTCAGTAAGAGCAAGCGCAGGATGGTCGGCAGGCTTTGTCGTATATCTGGTTGTATAGTACGATATGGCATATTATTATGATTACTAATAATATAAAATGAAGGTACTATAAAATGAATATATTAATTTAGCTCCTTAAATATGCCCATGTGTCATATCTATTGACTACCAGGATATTTTTACGGTGTCATATCTTTTGACTCCCAGGATATTTATTTTTGATGTCATAATAAAAAAGGCTAGTTTTTCATAGATATATCGATTCATACTAATTACATTGGTGGCGGAGCTGGGTGCGTTTTGCCCATTGTCCTTTATACATAAAAAAAATATTATCATATAAATTATTCATATATATGTTGCGGTCAATAATATATGTCTACTGTTCTGAACAAAAATTTCTAAATGCTTCTATTTCAATATATTTAGTACAACTTAGAATTCATAACTATCTACACATATGCTTTAAGCAGCTTTATGGTCTTTACTATGAGATGTATTTTGCTTGCTGGTTTTTGTTTTTGTTGCTTGGAAGTAATGATGCGACGTTGGTATTCGTATGAGGACTATCAATCTAACAACGTTGCAACATCTGTATTATTCTATTGTTTAGGTATTTGTAAATCTTAAGTTGTATGCATAGAAAATATAATGGTCAACACAGACTATTATAGTACTTGTTAAAAATATACACACTCTCTTTTAACATTTTCTCAAGCACATATTTTATTTATTATGTTCCATTCTAAATTCTAAAAAAAATGTACTTTCAAAAACCTATCATTTGATTAAACCTAACATAACAGATTATTTTATAAATCGAGCGTACACGAAAATCCTAGGGATTTTGTGAAAACGCGGATAATTAGACAATGGCATTGGCATTTCTCAAGCTTACTGAAAAAAGATAGGATGTTTGCAAAAACACGAGTCGCTACAGTAAGATAGCGTAAGAAATAATATAAATGGCTTAGTGTAAATTAATATTGGGTTTTTTAGGTTCACATTAGGTTAGGTTAGTGTTATTAGGAGCCGAGCGAGCGTAGCGAGCGGGCTGCAACAGCGACCGGTAAAGCGCCAGAATAAAATTCGTTAACAGTAAGATTGGGCAATGTCAGCGCCATCGTCTAATTTATCCGAGTTTTCGCAGAATCCCTAGGATTTTCGCAAATGTCCGATTAATGATATTATTATCATCCTACGATATAAACAAGTTCAAGTAATAACTTTTTTGCTAAGTAGTAACCAAGTCATTATTTTACACTTTAATTCTACAATAAAACAAATGGTTACTTAGCAAAAAGTTTGGTTATAAGAATTCTCATTTTTGACAATTCTTACTCTGATAAATTTTTGAAGATTCATCTCCTATTCCATCCATAGGGAAGGCCATAACCCCAGCAGTGGGGACATTAATAGGCTAATAATGATAAAGTTCCCTTTAGTGAGATTTTCACGTAGTTTGAAATCTTTATTTCACCACTTATCACACTGTACGTAAACGCCGCGCACATTCAGTCGGCTCAGAACAAAGCTTCATTTCTGTCGCATAGCTTCGCAAACATTGAAGTTAAATTTTTTCACAGTTGCAAGCAGTTTATTCGCCATTAGCAACACGTATAATCAAAATCAATAGCGGTATGCATTAGTAATAAAATTATTTTCGAGGATGGCTGGACCAGGCCTTCTGGCTATTTTCTAATTTCTGTTGATACCATGTCATAATAATAGCTATGCACGTAGTGATATACTTGCGCAAGTTTAGTACCTACCTATCTTTGCGTCATTATTACGCGTGGGAAGCATTTTGGCGTGCACTTTTTCCGCCTAGTTCCGAACCGACACAAGGGTATGCAATACAAAACTTTCAACATTCGCGCAATCATATCGCTACCGTAACTAGGGTTGCCAACCTGCTGTATAATATAGTGTCCTATATATTAGGAAATCAAATACTATATTTCTGATAAGTCTATAAAGTAGGCGAAACTGCTATATTTTGCTTAAAACAGACTTCTGCCAGTAAAAGCTTTCTTAAAAATAAAAACTTAATAATTAGTAAGGCATATATGTAGCAGCAAAAAAAATTATTTCAAAAATAAAGTAAATATATTAACCACATGCTATATTTTTTTTCCATTTTTTGCTATCTACTATATTTTTAGAGGTAATAGCTACTAAAATACTATATTTGATAGAAAAAGAGTTGGTAACCCTAACCGTAACATCCATTTGTCACCGTGTCAGAGGTCAGCATGCGTGAGAAGCAAGTGGCGGATCTGCGTTTAGAATTGGATCGAGTGAACGAGGAATTGCACTCGTTCAAGCAACGCTATTACGAGATGAAGCGCGCTCTCGACGCGGACGAGGCGAGGCGGCTGCGGGTGCCGTCGCCAGCGTCTCCGTCGCCGTGATCAAACACGGATTGGTTAGTACCGTACCACAGAACAAGAACTGTATCATTTTTTTTTGTTCTTTTTTATTTGGAGGCTTTCATTCAACGAATATGCAAGGAATTGCACTCGTTGAAACGACGCTATTACGAGATGAAGCGCGCTCTCGACGCGGACGAGGCGAGGCGGCTGCGGATGCCGTCACCAGCGTCTCCGTCGCGTCGCCGTGATCAGACACGGATTGGTTAGTACCGTACCACAGAATAAGAACTAAAGCTGAATCACTCGTAAAGTTATCATATTTTTACATATAGACCCTTAGATTAAAACAAAAAGGGAAGATACGGCACTCGCAGCTCAAAGTAATCCGCTTAAATTGTGGTGCATGACCACAATTAGCTTTACTCACAATTGGACATTCAAACACGCTGCACGTGCACTGTATATAACAAATTGCGTATATTCTGTGTTATAAAGATGCCTGCCTTATATGCCTTTGATGCTTCTATAAAGAACACAAATAGTTCAAAGTCAAATAACAAATTTCACGGCAACATGTGAGAGTTGCTTAGGTAGTTGAATCAGATCGTATTTTATTTGAAGCTAGTATGAGCACACCGTATCTTTCCTTTTTGTTTTAATCTATGTATAGACCAAATAAGGGATAATGATGAATTGTGAAATATATTAATCATACAATGAACAGCGCGCATACCATTATATAAACATCAAAATTTGTAAACCTTTGTATGCCTTGTGGATACCTTAACGTTACCGAATCAAAAAGCGATCTCAAGTCAAATGTAACCTGCCAATAATACGTTTTGGTTGGGTAATACTTCGTTTGGAATATTTTCATTAATCTACTGTCTATGGAAGTGTACGCTCAAACGTCATAGCATTACTTCTATGCTTTAGTTCTTGTTCTGAGTACTGTACCCTTAGCGCGAACCATTATCGCATTCGAATAGTTTGCGAGTCCGAAATGTCATTGTCAAAATTTGTATGGAAACTTGAACAGCAGAGTTATAACGGACGTAACGAGAACTGAAAATCAGTACACATTTGACAAAGACATTCCGCACTCGCAAACTATTCGAATTCGATATTGGTTCGTGCTAGGGGTACCGTACATGAGAATGTATCGTGTATTCCTTTCCCCACGTTTACACCAAAATATAATAAATATATTTAACAAATGTTATACAATTAATGTTTTGTTCACACTTATATACATGTAGTATATACAATACTTGCATCAAACTTGTTGGAAGTAAATAAGTGATTTATACTTGTAAGATATTAGTTGTCTATGCATTGTAAACGAAATAATGTTTTAAACACACACAACAAGTATTCTACAAGTTTTTATTAAAACTAATATACGACTGTTTTTGGTGGAATCGAGGGGTAAGCCAGATATCTGATAAATTCGCAATACACACTTTTCTACCCGTTGTTCGCAAAGCATCGTTTTCTCTATTTCTAGTCTAGAGGGTAATCAATGTCATTTTTGCTCAGCCCATTCTCTATGGTTAGTATGCACAGCCACATATAAGATAAACACCCCAGCAAACTTCTTGGGCATCAACAATAGACAAGGGAGCCTGTTTCGCTCAAGAAGTTTGCCGCTACATAGAACCAAATTAATATCAATTTACAATAATACGCCCAACCAATTTCAATTGTCTGCAAAAGTATATATATATTCGCTATGCGTGCGCGTTGGTCGTGGGAGGCAAGTGGGGTTCGCTCGTCGTAGCCTCCGGTCGTGCTCGCCGCAGCCGCCCCGCAACCGTCCTGCAAACGCCCCGCAGCCGCCCCGCAAACGCTCCGCAACCGCACGCTGTGTTGGTGGAAGCTGAGCACGTCTTTCGTTCTCAACAAATGTAAACACTGATGCTTTGGCGATCCCGTAGTTTGGGTAGCTAAAAGCTGTTTAATGTCTATATGAACCTATGTATTCTTTATAAAATTTATAAGAACAAACACCCGACAGGATATACTTTAGTCCATTTTCTTAACCGTTTTTCTTAACCATGTAAGAAAGATTAATTTTAATTCTCTCTTTCGTAACTGGTAATGTAATAAGAATATTTTATCCGTTTTCATAACTAGTTAAGAAAACTTGTTAGGAAAATGGAAAAAGTCTTATTTCATAACCAGTTAAAAAAAAGGTGAACTGAAATTGTTATAAAGAAAATTTTACTGAAATTGTTCTAAAGAAAATTTTACTAGAGAAAATTCCACGCGGCCAACAGCTGTCGGGACTCGAACGCGTACCCTTCGCTATCCGGGCTAATTACACTGACCGTTATGCTGCCGCGGCCCTGATGGCCGTGTCGAATTTTCTCTAGCATTTCTTAGGCTGCAACTCAGCGCCATCTTCGCATTGCAGGTAACCCACAACCACACAAAAAATTTCTTTCCATTTAAACATCAAGCAGGTAAATGCTTAAAAATAAAAATATAACTGGAATTCTTCTTCCATAGATGGTCAAGATTAAGAACGTGATGATTATTAGACATTAATATGACTTTTGCGTGAAATATTAGTTAGGAAACAGTTAAAAACATGGACCAAATAGATTTTAGCAATCCGCTAAAATAATATATTAAAGGTGTTAAGTAATTATTTCCGAAAAACAAAGAAAATAGATAAACATACATTTTATTCATTCTAGAGTCACTACTATTTTTTTTTTTCAAAATTTATAAATACAACTAAGTAATATAACTACGAACATGGAATTTTTATTCACTTTTTCTGTACCGTATTTTTCCATTTTCCTAACTAGTTACCCAGTTATGAACGGATAAAATATTCTTATTTCTCAACTGGTTAGGAAAAAGATAATAAAAATTCTTCTTTACTTTAAGGTTAAGAAATAAAGTTAAGAAAATATACCAAAGGTCTTATATAGAACAACAAGTGCAATTTTATGCATTTCATGACATTTATTACCAACTAACTAGCGGCCGCCCTAGACTTCGCCCGCGTTCACTATAGTTCCAAATTTCATCCAAATCCGTTCAGCCGTTTTTACGTAACTGAGTAACAAACACTACAAACATACACATTAATAATATTTGTACAATCAATATCATGTAATTTGCCATTATGATCAATAGCGTAAAACAAAAACATTGTTGTGTTATAAACGACGTCCCATGGATATATCAAAACAGTTTATTATTCAAATTATTCTTTCTTTCAGAAACGTGTTAGCAACGAACTGCAGAATAGGAACAATCCTTGTTACAATATTAGCTGATCTGTTTGGTGTTTAAGCTAGTCAGAAATCATTTTTGCAAGTTGCACTTTATGCAACTAAAAATAGAAATTGATGATGTTGTACATAGCAAAATATTGTTGACAACTATTTAGCTTTCGTAATTTTATATTATTGTTTACAATGTAGTTAAATCAAATCGTAACGCATGCCCCTTTGTTTTGTGCCAATATTTCGTACATTTGTACAATCAAAACAGTATTTGTGTAAGCATTGTATTTAATGCTTGAAATATAACAAATGAAAATAATGATTGTTACGTAATTAATCTCTGTGATCCAGCTGATCTCATATTTGCTAATCAAGAGTGTGTTTCATTTGTATTATTGTAATTTTTACATGTTCAAGTTAATATATTATTAAGAATGTTAAGGGATAATATTGAAAGAGTTAAATAAAACACGAGAGTAATTAATCCGAAAACAATAGTTTTATTTAAGAACTTTTCACTTTCTCATAAAATATACACATTGTTTTTGTCATTAAACTAAACTGTAAGTAAATACTAATTTTAAATACCAATTCTCACGATTTTCAAACAGGCTGAATTTTGGGGGGAGGGCCCCACTATTGCGATCGGTCTCTCTCGTACGATGTTCATTCATGTACAAATACGTCATTTACACACTATTTAGAAAAAAATATATAATTATCAAATGAAAGCATGATTTTGTACATTTCAAATAATTAAAAAAAAGACCTCCTGTTTTCTCATTAAGTGTGATGATAGAATCTACAGTCCATTTGTTGATACTTATAAAATAACAGTTCGTGCGCATGCGCTCGGTGCTCGTACCGGCGGGCATTCTATCTAACTTCATAACGGGGCGGCCGCTTACGGGGAAATCGCATAGGGTTTCCGCGCAGAAACGCATTGCTAAAGGCAAGTTGCAAATAGAAACGGCGGTGGATATTTTAGGAAGGGTAGGTAGGGGAGATGTCGTTCGTTATTGAAGTTAGAAAGGAGACGCGCGGGCGAGAAGCAGCGCGGGCGATGCCGTGCGACGCCGCGGTCATCGGATGGCAAACGCGCGTAAGTACTAATCACTAAACAGATATTTTTCTATATCTCTATAGTTGAGACGATCGTCTCACGTTAAGTTTGAGAGGGAATCACGCGCGTCAGACTACACCCGATGAGGTTACATTATAATGTTAAATGCGTTTATCTCTATCCCTCCCGGTGACCTGAAGTGGATCTAAGTAGTACACTCCGTCGTCGTAGCACACGTCGACCCGCGATCGCTACACGCATTTTACTTATAACAGTATTTATATATAGCTGTCCCAACTTACCGATTACAAACACAGAATCAACTATTCGCTCAAATTAACGCGCCGCTTGCATTGAGACGCCGTTTCGCTACAAACCACACACATGCTTCTTTCCACGACTTGCCTTTATTCATATTAATATAATTGGAACGTCTTAAATCGTACCTTAAGTATACTCGTACAGTATAACCGCAAACCACTAATGTTCTGTAGTCGAGCCGACAAGTGTATACACATCGCACAATGTCCGCTGGGTAGGTGTCGCTTGGGTAGGTGTCGCTCGCCTCGGCACTAGTCCACATATTGTCCAGGGGCTCGGAACATTGATCCTCCACTCGCGGCGCGTCTCAATGCAAACATTGCTCACATAATTATCACTCGTTGGCTTACGACATAGGTACTTATGACATATTGCGATGGAATCAATAAAACTATTGTTTGTTTGTAGTTTGATTAGTCGCTCGGCGCCTTCACGGTACTGTAACGTAGCGTACGTCGTCGCCTAGTGGACGTCGGAGCTCTCCTGCTTCAACTGGTGATTAGCCGGGTCCGAAGTGTTGATCGGCTGCGAAACAAAACAAAATCATAAGGATTTAAGATGGGCCGACTATAGTATTTACCGACTAATCGACTGATCCCTTTTCAAATTGCCGATCATATATACGATGCCGAATAGTCGGCTTTCGGTCATCTCTAATAAGGATATATTGTTCAATTTTAATTCAATAAATTGTTTCAGTTCAGTTAATTGCTATTAGGTTAAATAGGGTTTACTTCACACATCTGCGCTGTACCCTTAGTACGAGTTTTACAATTACAAAAACTATAATAGTATTCGTGAGCTCGCATTCGTACTAAGGGTACTAATTGAATTGTTTTCATTTCAATTCAAATAAACAATGCTTAAATTCTATCATTAAATCATTTGCGTCTTCTTAAATTTTAACTACATTTGGTTACTTTTCACCAAAATGGACATAGAAACATAATTTCTCTGCCCTCTGTGGAGAGGCGAGGGCTGCAAGAGCGCGGCGGTGGTGGTGTGGTAGTGTGTAGTAGCGGCCGGTCATGGCGCGCTGTCTGCCAGTGACGTCACTCACCATAGAGATGGGCGGCTAGTGCACGGCGATGGTGGTGTAGCAGCGGCCGATCATGACACGTTGCCATGTCTGCCAGTGACGTCACTCACCATAGAGATGGGGGGCTAGTGCACGGCGATGGTGGTGTAGCAGCGGCCGATCATGACACGTTGCCAGTGACGTCACTCACCATAGAGATGGGCGGCTCGTACACGGCGGTGGAGTGTAGCAGCGGCCGGTCATGACACGTTGTCTTCTGTCTGCCAGTGACGTCACTCACCAGGAAGACGGGCGGCTTGTGCACGGCGATGGTGGAGTGTAGTAGCGGCCGGCGCGCTGCGCTGCCAGTGACGTCACTCACCAGGAAGACGGGCGGCTCGTGCACGGCGATGGTGGAGTATAGTAGCGGCCGGTCATGACGCACTATGTGCTGTCTGCCAGTGACGTCACTCACCAGGGAGATGGGCGGCTGCGGCGAGGGCTGCACGGGCGCAGGCTGCGGCGGCAGCGGGGGCGCGGGCGGCTCGTGCACAGCGGTGGTGGAGTGCGCGGCCTGCGCGGCGGCTCCCGCGTAGTAGCCCCCGTTCATGCCCTCGCTGTAGCCGGCCGGCGGCGGCTGCGGGGTGGGCAGTGCCGCGGGAGGCGCCAGCACCGGAGCGGAGCCCGGCAGGAAGTAGTCCTAACAAGGCGATACATTAATGAATGGCACATACGATAACTATGACCAGACTATGGCCCAGGAGCCCACAGCATAGAAGATAAAAAAAAAAACAAAACAAATAAAATATTTCAACCAATCAGAGGGGTAAAAATCGTATGTAATATATAATGAAATAAAATAAGGGCTATTTTTCAATCCTTTAACCTTAACCTTAAAACTTAATCTGCCCCTGATAATGACGTTGTACCACCGTTATATCATTATTGTCGTCTCTGAATTTGTAAAAATATTCAAACGTGAAAAAATACCTCGTAATAAATTTGATACTCTTAATTTCTTTTTTATACACTAAATATAAACGAAAGTGACTAAAGCTTGAGAAATTTTATAGTCTTGTAAACACATTTACCCAAATGACCTAAATTGCTAATTCTATTTTCGCCATTCTGCCAAAAAATATTTTTCAGGCTAGTCTATTACAAGCAGGTAGCCATGTAGATTGTGGGTACATAAAAAAACAGACTTAAGGCTATAAAATTATGGGAGACAGAAGTCCAAAATCTCTATTTTTAGACTGAAGTGTATAGGGGGCGAGCTGGACATCGGTTCCCGTACAAACGGTCTATAATCACCCTTCTAACTCTTTCTGTGTTCTGTAGTTTATTTACATTTGACGTTAAATCCGAATTCCTATGGCACTCGTATTCAGGCTAACGACCAAGTGTCATCGCACCATTAGTTTATGTATATATGTGTGTGTGTGTGTATATACCTTGTTGACGCAGTTGCGCAGACAATCGGGGATGCGGCCGACGATGGCGCGCCGTATCTCGGACGCGGCCATCTCACGCAACTCCTGCGCGGACGCGTCCGAGTAGAACGCCGCGTGCGGGGTGCACAGCACATTCGGTGCATCCTTCAGGGGACCCTGGCGCGACGGGAAACATTACTATACTATTGTAGAACGGGAGGACAAAACTTCAGATCGAGGATCGATCGTTGAAGTTAAGCAACTTTCGCAGTGGTCGATCATTGGATGGATGACTAAAAATCCTCTATCTCGAGTTCCTCCGTGCTTCGGAAAGCACGTTAAGCCGTTGGTCCCGGCTGCATCTGCAATCGTTAGCACCCGCCAAATCGCACTGGGCTCGCGTGGTGGGTCATGGCCCAATCTGACCTATTCCATCGATAGAGAAGGCCTGTGCCCCAACAGTGGGGAGATTAATAGGTTCATGATGATGTAGAACGAGAAACACCAGGGAACCCTAGAAATACTAACCAAACAGTCGCGAATATATAACAATGCTATTAAATAAAAATGCCGTCACGGGACGACTTTCCAACTTACTAAGTCAAAAGTAATTGCTAAACAAAGAGAATAAATATGGCTTCAACCCTATAGTTATAATTATGGCGATAGTGCACCCAACTTGCACCTTTATTATCGCAACAGTGTTTAACTTCATATCCGTTCTAATACAATAAATACAATATAATGTACTAAAGACAGATATCGCAATAACACATCTTATATTATCGACCGATAATAAAGCACCTTTGGGGAGAAGGCTATAGCCATTCCATGTCAATTTGAAAAAAAGATTAAAGAAAGTAGTATGGAAGAGACGAAATGATCTTGCGGCCAAAAGTGAACTACACAATCATTTTCACTCTCTCTGAGTTTTCAACTTCATGCGAATGTCGTCGACTCCATGCTCCATAAAAATAATTGTACTATGCTGCTAAACGGATTTGGATGAAATTTTGTACACATATAGTTTTATCAACTGTATTAAGATTAAGACAGGAAACTTTTTGTATCGAAAAAAATTACAGGGTTCCGTGGGATTCTCAAAACACAACGCAGACGAATTTGCGAGCGAAACCCGAATCGCTACCATGTACCTTGTTTCTACATTTTTGTTAGTCCCCCATATATCGGCACTGTTGCAAGCGTCAAGATCACGGAGTTACTGAAGAATTTGCAGTTAGACGTGACACACATACGGATCTACCGTCTCACGTTTTTTCTTGCGCTTGATACAACAATTAGAAAAGATAGTTGTACCTGGAACACGTTGAAGGGTTCGTTCTCGTGCACATCGAGCGCGGCGGCCCGGATGCGGCCCTGCTTGAGCGCGGCCGCCAGTCCCTCGTCGTCCACCAGTCCGCCGCGCGCCGTGTTCACCAGAAATGCGCCTACATAGACACACGTCACAATGTACCAGTGGTTCTTAAGCTTTTGTTGTTTGACATTTTGAAACTGCTAATAGGTATGAAATCAATTGAATTTAAATTTATTTTGTTTTAAATGTAATTGTATGTTGAGATGTAATTTAATTTTATGTATCATAGTTAGAATAGAATATATTTTATTAACCCTCATATTACAGATATACAGATACAAATTAAAAAAAACCTCAGGGCTAACCAGGACCCTGCCTCAGCATTAGCTGTTGATAGTTATAACTATTTATTATTATTTTGTAATTTTTTATTAACTTTGTATAAAGATTTAGCCTAGTTTTATGGTTTTATTTTGTTTTTATTTTGCCGTAAGTCTATACTGTTGTGGATGGCAGTTTAGATTTTTACCAGTTTTATGTTTTTTAACCATGCATAACTGCACTCTGTGTACCAAGATAAATAAATAAATTGGCATGCTAAAATCTTCGTGGTTCAAATAAATGAATTATTATTATTATTTGTAGTGTTTTTTCTTCTCAGCTCGGGCTGTTTTTTACTACATTTACGGGCCGAAACCAAGTAAGTGCAGCATGTGTTATGTTATGTTGTAGTGTTGTGATGAGAACCTATTTCCTATTATTATTATTAAGCCGGGCATCCAGCAAAAGGTTTTTAAAAACATTCAACTACAACACATACAGGACGTACGTAACTCTAGCGCTGAACAAAACGCGAAGGGATAGCTGCGCATGGGTTGAGTGGAGAGCCAATCGGCACAACGCATCGCAACGAGAAACAAACATCCATGGAAAAGTGTCCAATACTGGGACCATATTATCACGACGACGCGAAGACTTGCGCAACGAATCTGCCCAAGCAGTAAGTATTATTTTGTATGTATATTGTTACAAATATGTGCTTCGTGCCACTGTCGGTAGATTGATCGGATAAGACAGACTGTTCATTCAATTTTGTCCATTTCATATTATTTACTTTATCATACAGATAGTAACTGATTTTTTGAAATCATTGTAATATTTCCTACAAATAAAACAAAAAGTATAGAATGATTATTACCTGGGCGCATCTGTTTGATAGTGAACTCATTGATAAGATGGTGATTGTGCTCATTCAAGCTGCAGTGCAATGAAACACAATCACTCTGGAATAGGAGGTCCTGGAAAGAAAGAAACGCCATTATAGATAAATGTTATGTATAACACCATACATATCACACAAGCTACGAAACTGAGTTCCTGACAAAGATGCTTATAAAGCTGGAGACTGACTTGTAATATTTTGGTATAATGTATCGAGTTTCTGTAAATCAAACCAAAGACTAACTGTACTTGTAATATTGTAGTGTGCAATGTATAGCGCCGCGTGCTCCACTCGACTGTCGACTTTTTTCTCAAATCGCTTTGAGTGTTACAATACAAGTACAGTGCAGGTTGCGTCATCGTGAGTCGAGAGCAAGTTGCAAGGGAAAGCCATCTCGTTTTTCACTCGATTTTCGATACCTAAGTGAAAATGCAGTGAGAAAAGGAAAAAACTATTTTATTTATTTACTAATACAGAAATAAACCAATGTTATGGGATCCTTCTCATGTAAACCATCAATTAAATGCACCACCTCTATGTCTGTCACTTTAGTATAAATGTAGTACATTTGAGCCAAGAGCTTGTAAGTCTGTGTTGCCGTATTGTAACAAGATCGCCTTAAATGATACATTACAAACAAACGGTACAAGTCAGTTTCCAGCTTAACGTTACGTGAACTCTCTTGAAGCAGCTCCTATTCAAAAGACTGACGATTTGGATTGCAACCAAAAGTCATGACCGATTGTTAAATTATTTTTTTGCTGCCTTAGACGTTCGGTGTATGGTGGAAGTACTTCACAAGGTGCAAGGTTGCCCCCTTATGTTATACTGCCGGCTCTCGAGTAAATCCCACAAACTCCGCTTGATCTCCCCCTATTATAAACTTACGTTGAGATTTTTTGCCAGTAAGCACACAGTTGGGGGCAAATAAATCGAATCAGCTAGGTTTCTGTTGAGTTCTTTTTTAACTCATTGCATCCTTTTTTCCGTCCTCATTATTAAGGTATAAAGGAACTTAACTGTCAAGTGTAGTAAAAAACAAAATTCTGCGGCCCAGCCCCACGATGCACAGAGTGGGGACGCAGATATACGTCACCTGCAGCGTGTAGACGCGGGTAAGGCCGAGCGACTTCTCGATGCCATCGGGCAGGTATGGGTCGTAGAAGATGACGTTGAAGCCGAACGCCTTGGCCCGCAGCGCCACGGCAGAACCGATGCGACCCAGTCCAACGATGCCCAGCGTGTCGCCGCGGATGCGGGCGCATCCCGCCGCAGCCTCGCGTACTTGCTCCGGACCTGGACGCGAAAAATATTATTCATTATCATTATTACCGCGGGAAGGTTGCCGGGCAAAGAGATGTAGGCCGGAAGAAGGAGGCCAGGTGAAATATGCGGAGATGACTGTCAGTCTTCACTTGTTGGAGAGGCACTCGGAAGAAGATCATCATCAGCCTATTAATGTACCCACTGCTGGGGCACAGGCCTTCCCTACGGGTGGAATAGGGAAATTGGGCCGTGAACCAGCACGCGGTCCTAGTGCGGATTGGGGTGCTGACGAAAGAATAATCTATCAGACATGCCTCATTCTATCTCTAAAGATCCTATATTCGAGTTAAGATACAGTTTTTGTCAATTAATATCAAGCATATGGCCCGCTTGACGATTAGCGGTAGTCACAACCCTACAGGCGCCTGATAACAGGGTATCACTCTCGTGTTGGCTACCCTGACTTTATCCCCTCCCTAATCCATGCAGCGTTAATCACCGAAAGAAATACAACACCACCAAAAGGTAGAGTTATATCGAGTAATATTTTTGGCAAAGAAACTCATTAATTAATTATTGAGGTTTTACCTGTAAACTTTTTGCCTTCCCGCACCATGTTAGCGAGCCAGTACGTCCGCCGGTATAAATTCAATATGAGACACATCGTCGTGTCGGCTACCTCCTCCACGCCGTAACCCGGAACATTACATACTGCTATGCCTGAAATGGAACAAACTCTGTTTACACACTATGCATTGTCAAAAACAGGGCATATTGGTATGATTCCCTAACTTGAATCTAAATTACAGCGATCTCTTCTTTATAACTACAGTTAGGATCAGGGATAATGTAGTATTCTTATGGTGAAACAAACAAAAACAACGCTCTTTCCTCTTTATAATATCAGTATAGATATTTATTTATAAATATTACCAATAGGGTTGCACCTTTGATACTCTGCCAACCCCACTTGGATTTTAGCGGCTTGAAGATACTTGATTTAAGTGTACACAGCGCTAGTAAATACAATGTGATAAGATATTAACTTAATATGAAAATTTGATATTTGGTGCTACTGTTTACATAATAATTACTAATATAGTTAGCTTTAGGTAACAACAAATCAATAAGAATAGGTGTAAAATATAAACATTTCAGGTTGATTTCAATGTAGTTACAGGACTCTTGGTTCGGAAACGTAGAATCTAATCAGATTTATAGCGTGTGTGTACAAAGTGAATTTTAATAGTCATGGTCAGAATGTATTATTATTATGGAATATGGCTCTGATATAATAAAAGAGCAACAACAACATATGATTTTATTTCTGTGAATAATGTTATCAGCAGCCGGAAAATCGGGCTATCGAGCGGTTTACAATCCTACAATCTTTTATAATTGCGGCCGGTATACAAGTACCGAATCACTAATTTATAAGCTGTAATAAGATAAAAATGGGGTAGATATATAATATCTATCACATGGCTCATTCTGTTTTTGTTTTCATACATACGCAATATGTATGTAAAAAAATATCCCTTTTATGTCGCTTGTATCAGTATCAAAGGTGCTTGCTATATCAAGAGAAATTACTGTTGTTCCCTTCGAAGGGTTTATGTATATTACTTTAAAAAAATATCTTGTAATAAATATTCATAAGTAAGTTACTACACCTAAACCATTATTCAGCTGTCCTTTGTAATATGGGAAAAAATCCGAAGAGATCTTTGGACTACGAGCAGATTTATCACTAGATTTCAGTATGGTTTTGCTTATGCTTGCTGACGACCTCCGTGGCCGAGTGATTAGTACGCCGGGTTTCATGGTGTCGCCGATTCGAGAGGTCCCGAGTTCAAATCCCGGTGGGTGCAGATGTTTGTGTGATGAATACGAGCATTTGTACTCAACTCAGTCATGGATGTTTAATATGTATTTCTATAAAAAAAATTACACATATATGTACAGTATATTGTATTCTATCCGTTACCCTAGTATCCCATAACACAAGCCTTATAGTGCTTACTTTGGGGCTCGGCTAATAGGCTAGTTGACCCTTTTTGGAAAAAGGTTTTAAATGGTTAATAAATGTTCTATTAGACCGAAAAAAAATGTATTGTATTTTTTTGAGACCTAGAAAGCTACAAATCTTTAATTTTAAAACAGAATTTTCATGGACATACTAAAACGCTGTCGGCCATTTTAATCTATAGATTGTCTATGCTATGATGTCAACTGTAGTAAACAAAAACTCGTAAGCACGTAGAAAATAACTTATCTGAGTTTATAATAAAAAGAACATGATTTCTAATAAATACCACGAAAAATAAAGTAATTATCATTATTGTATTGTACGAGAATATAAAAACACATCCTTGAAGACTCCAGGAATGTTGTGGATTAAAGTGCCGAAAGAAATTAACCTACGCAACTTCATTACACTTATTCATATGTTGTATCAGTGTTATGTTTATTACTACATTGTAATACTAAATGCGCTTTACTTACATAGATGCCTTGTCGTTTCTCTGCTCCGCAGAACAGAAATCGGGGTTTGGTGCAAAAAATTCACCAACCATCAATGCGTCAATTCTTGGCAGATTTGTGCTTTCTGCTTTCACAAAGCCGGCATCCATAATTAGTTTTGTCAAAAAAAACAGTAAACGGAAACTTTTCTAAAGTTAAAAGTGTTTTAAGATAAATTTATTCAGACTAAAGAATCCACCCATAACAACACGCGAATGACATTTAGTTGTTTACTGAAAGAGACGTCACAATCGTGGCGGATGTAGCGAACAGCGTTTTTAGTGTTTAAAAAAATAGACTAAAAAATATTTTTTTTAATTAAATTTCTACAGCAATCTTCTGCTTTTATGAAGTGAAATCGATATATTTAGGTTCCTTAGACCAAATACTGTAAGAAATAAACATTTATTTAATACAATTCGACATGAGTCAACTAGCCTATTGGTGTGAGTGTTGGAAATATTTATTTATTTTATGATTTTTATTTACTGTATCGTGACTGAAATTCAGGTTGTTAAGACTAATCAGATAATAGTAATACATGCATTCACATAACAATACGCCATTACTATTTAATCTGTTATTATGTTCAAAAACAATCCATAAAAGGGTACAAATAAAGCTCACCTAATTCACCAGCCGCTTTGACATCAATGTTGTCGACGCCGGATCCGATGCGGACTATGATCCTCAGCGTCTTGAACTTCTCCAGGTCCTCCTTAGTGAGTATGATGGTGTGCCACATGAGCGCGCCCACCGCCTCATTGAGCACCTTCTCGTGTATCTCGGAGGTGGACTGCGCGTCGCAGAAGGCGACCGTCGCTACGTCCTTCAGTATTGGCATCTCCACAGTGCAATCGCGACCGTCCAATAACGCTACCAAGGGCCTGGAAAAGACAAAGCAGCTATATTATTTTGGAATTTCAAGCTGGCAAGGCGAGGGTGGCAGGGCAGTTGTCTTCGCTTTTCAGACTGGCTAAACACCAGTCGATATCAAATGTTATTCTGTGGACTACGTATTTTGATTATGGACCATTCGTATATAATATCAAAATATAAATAATATACCAAACTTGGAATTTTAAGAGGACACTCACTCTAGTGCTACTACTACACTGATAGCGGTTACTCAACCGACGTAGGTGGTGGTGACCAGGTTAAAATGTAAATGGACAAATTAAATCATGCAGGAGGTAAGACAGCCGGTGAACGCGTAACATTCCCGTACGGCGATGAAGGCGCAAGCCACACATAACTGGAGTTGGGCGAGGACGCGGCGTGGACGTGGCGCGGAAATGACTCGGTCATGATGCAGAAATGACATGACGCATAATCAATTAACATAGACGCATAGATAGGACTCCAGACTATTTACAGCAATGCGAAACTTGAGGCACAATCCTGGTCGTTTTTAAAAAATGACTCCGCAATGTTTTCAATATTATTAAATAAAACTAGAAACAAACGCCAGAAAAAGAGCACAAAATGTAGAATGCCTGCGTGTGCAGAAGAGTTACTTCTTCACTTATTTCGCTAATTTAATTGTTAACCGAATTATCTTAAATATTTCTGTTACAATAATCGGAACGACTATGATCATAAAGCGCTGGATAGTTTTCAATCAATTCACAAATCGCATGTTATATTCGATGTCGACACGAATTTTTTACATCACTAACAGGCGTGTTGTAGACGTCGAACTGGCGGCATCATGTGCTTTATTTTCATGCATTTTGTACGAAATTTTAATAGAATGGGAAGCTGCCTGTGCCTTGTCCGTGCCCAAGGACTGGCCAAGGTGAGCCGGAATGAGACCTTTGCCTGATGATCGCATACAAAAACTGGGCTGTATGGAGACCATGAACGCAGCTGAAAGCGTGGATGACAAAGATCTCATGAAGAACAAAGTTTATACTGAGTATTGTGTAAAGGTACTTTATTAAACAAGTAATGAGAAATTTCACTATCCGAACGTTCCATAAGTCTTTCGATTGTAGTTCGTTAACAGTATATAAAAAGCATACTACTTGACGCATCCTAAAAAAGGGTGCCAAACGTAGATTTATGTTAAAAAGTATTAATTTTGAAAAAAAAAATTTTTTTTAATGATTGATGTGCTTGAAAACTTAAGAAACAAAATAAAACATGTCATCTTTTGCAACTTTTTAAAAGACAGCCTGCTCTTCCACATCGATATCAGAATGTAAGTTAAGGTACTAAATCAAAAAAAGGAAACCCATTAAAATTATGAATATCATTGCCATGGGTATAGTAAGAGTCGACTTAGGGAAATCGGAGCTTTCATCCGTTCTGGTAGTAGGGCGCTTAGTGCCCGCCTAGTTATTTACCAACGTGCGCATGGTGTAAATCCCGTGAAGTTCTCGTTGAGTGCGTTTTGGGGTCTGCTAACATACAACCAGAACTCAAGTGGACATGCCAGGTCTCTGGGATTCCGATCCGTCCAGGCGGTGAGGTGGACCTGTTATACATAGGGTCAGCGCATCTCCTCTTCAACGACTCGGGGAAACAAACCTCCCTAATTTGCCCGATCCTGTCGAGGCATCGTTCACTCCGCTGCCTTGAAAATCGCTCCTTCTTCATGTTAGGGGTACACGTCGACTCTGTTCCCCAGGCTAGAGTCAATGTGTGCCTTTAGAGATCCCATACAAGCCACAATATTACTTTTTTACTGATGCCGTTTATGTTAGTAAATGCCAACGTGCCTCAGGGTTCCCTTTTAACTTATAGACTTTTTCTGCTGTATCTCAATAATTTAATTCTTTGTGTGAAAAATCATTGCTATGCAGAGAATAGTTCAGTGCATGCAAGGTATTTCGAACTCTCAACGCAACGGACGGGTGGAAAGTTTCCAGAATGAAAATCCTTTAAACTGGTGGAGTGTACATCGAAGGGAATTTAAGGTATTATCGCCGATAGTACGAAGATTTTTATCTGCTCCACCGGGCAGTGTTCCTAGCTAACAACTATGTGGTAGCGCGGGATTAATTTACGAACCTCTGCGTAACAGTCTTGAATCAGAAAAGGCGGCAATACTATTCTTCATCATGTATATAGCTCCTATTTTTAAATTCAATTACTGATATAAAAAACAGTAGGTGAAGTTTAAAAAATTTGTTACATTTTACATTACTTCTATTTAACAAAAAAATAAGTACTTAATTATGTTTGATTACAATAAAAATGTTAATAATTACGTTGTCATTGTTTTAATTCTTCATTAATAGACTTTATTTACATAATATCTTATACATCCGCATCCGCATCCGCGGATGTGAAAACATCGGCATCTGCAACATCCCTGGTGGAAACCACGGAGAAACGGCAGAATCTTATCATTAGGCTTAATTAGGTTTTAGATCACGTTTCCGAATGGGGTACCGAAAACTTGGTTGAGTACAACGCCAAGAAAACACAGGTCCGCGCTTTTAGGGCACGTCGCCTTTCCTTCCTTCATAAAGGAACTACACTGGCGTTCCTGAGCAATATCACAATGATCAGTCCATACCGATCAAAGTCACAGTAAACTTCCAAAAGTACGCTGTGACATAAATCGAAAAGCATGTAAAACAAAAACTGCCTCATTCTAACTCTGGGGTCCTGAACTAGGTATGGCGTTTATTCACATCTGATCAACTGTGCAATTACGCCGTGTGGTGTCGACATATTTTAACGTGTTTTTATCGTCTATCTATGTTTTACCTTCCCCTTAACTTCAGAGAACAACGCGCGCAGGTTTACATTGCCATCGACTTACTGTGGGCACTATTCCAAGAAAGAGATTCGGTGACTCATTTCTTTGTCGCACCATCCGCAAATGGAATACTTTGCCCGCTCACGTGTTTCCTTTCTCTTAATACAATGGGCACCTTTAAAAGAGGCGTAAAGAAGGAACATTTAGGCCGGTAAGGTGAGGATGGCTAGCTAGTGTGGTAAATAAAATACGCGTCTGAATTCTACCATCACTTAATTTCAGTTGGGGTGAAGTCATTTTGCTCATTTATAAAAAAAGACACTTATGACAAAAAATAGAGATTCTATTTCTATTTTGTTGGTAGATTTTCTTAATGTGCGGTAAACACAAAAGTAACGCATGAAGTTGGACGTTAAAGCGCCCAACTTCATGCTGTTAAAATTTTGTGTTACAGTGATGCGCGTGCGCGCATCTTAAAATTTCACTCTCATCATTTTTTCATAACGCGCCTAAAGAAGTATTACTTCAAAAAACATAATATAGTTCACTCTAAAACTGTAAAAATCTGAAA